CACCACGATGATACTGATGAAGAGGATGGAATAAAGAGAGAGTCAATTTCTAGGACTGCCAGTGCAAGCATCAGCCCAACTGCCACACGCAGCATGCTTCCAGGTGCTGGTGCTAGGAGAGATAGCATTGATTCCACTGTCAGTGCCGGTAGTGGAAAAGAGGGCAGCAAGAAGAGAGGTGGTCCGGTATTTACTGATCCCACTGGGAGGCAGTACTATGAGGAGGATGTAGTACCGCCTGGTGTTGAGATCCCAGCAGGGTGGCAACTAGGTGCTGGGAAAAAATGTCTGAATAAACTATTGCCATTGCTTAAAGACGGGTTGCCGGTATTTCCGGAATGGGGTCTTACGTCAGCTGGAAAGGCGAGGCAACGACTGCCGAAAGCTTGTGCTAGCTGTCGTACCAAAAAGATTAAGTGTGTGTGAGTTTTACCGATCTCTTTTAACTTATTTCTAATCATTTCTGCCAGTATCATCGACTAACGTGTGGGATTCTTGAAACTCAGTGAGAGTGACCAAGATGATACCAAGTGTGCACATTGCCACAAAATGAGAATTGCCTGCAGCCAGGACGAGTGAGTGGACTCAATTATATTCTCATATATACCACCTTTCTCACCATATCTAACCTTGATACCCCATTGAAGTGAAGAGAAGCCCGCTCGAAAAAATTCCAAGAAGATTTCCGACAAAAAGAAAAGAAAGGATGGAGTAATGGATCAGGAGTCCGCTGTTGGAGGATCTGCATCGCCGGGCGTTCTTCCTTTAAATGGTGCACAAGGCAGCCTTGGGTTCCCAAAGAAACGGAAGGCCTCTGACGATGGCCAAAAATCTGGTGGTGGGTTTCTCAAACGAGGGAAATCATCAAGGGATAGTTCGTTTTCCATGGAGCCAATTGAGGAGAAGACAGCTATTATGGATAGTTCCCTGGACAGCACCAAATCAACACTACGGCATCACCAACAGCCGCAAACGCAAACACTCGTACAGAGTCAGAAGAGATTGACTTTTGCAACGGAGTCTGCTACCCCAATGAATGTGACCGACGAAGGTCGAACATCCAGGAGCTACAATGCTAGGCTATTGGCAGATCAATACCCACCAGGAGGCTATGGGATGGCGGGGATGCAGCCAGTAGTACCAGGGGCTACTCCAAGTTCATTTACCTCTGCCTCCCCCACCACACCTGACCATCCAGTCATTTATGCGGTAAACAATCCATACTCATCAAGTTCAAAGGCCCTAAGTACAACACCGACCATAATGGAAACTCCCACTTTATCTTTTGTGCCCCTCCCAATGGGTGAAGATCCAAGAAACAGCAACTTCCCACCCCCGAACGTGGTCAATCATCTCGTAGAGATGTATTTCAAATATGTGTATTCACAGACATATGCATTTCTTCACAAGCAAACATTCATCAAGGAATTAGGGTCACAACCGGATGTTCTTGTAATCTCTGTATGCACAGTAGCAGCAAGATTTTCTCCGCAATGCTCCCACATGGAAGAAAGTCTTGCGTCCCAAGCTAGGCAACTCATTTTCAAGAATTACGACAACTATTGCTTGGCAGTAGTGCAAAGTATGATACATATGGGTCTTCATGATTTTGGAAGTAGCCAGGGAGACAAAGCATGGATGTTTTGTGGTATGGCAGTCAGAATGGGGACGGCTTTGAATCTCAACTTGGAGAATGGTCGGGCGAAAGTAATGCTTCAATCTCCGGTTGAAAGAGAATCTGCACGAAGGACCTTTTGGTCTTACTATTTAATGGATGTTAGTATTATGAAAATTAACCATCCGCAGACATTTAAGTACTAACTTATCACAGAGATTCAATAGCTATGGCGTTGCACGGCCGTTTCTCACTCAAGATCATGACTGCCATGTTCAGCTCCCTTGTAATCAACCATCCTTCAGGGACGGAAAGACTGTTGTGACCGAGCATCTGCTTGGACCGAACCCAGCCAAGCCGGGTGTAGGCACCACACACATGGGAGCCATGGCGTTTCTAGTACGTGTAGTCGGTATTTGGGGAAATATCTTGAAACAGATCCACCTATCTGGATTCGAAAAGGGAAAAGACAAAGAGGCGGAGTTCCAGGCATTGATAGAGAATTTGGAGACTTGGAGGAAATCGCTTCCAAGCGGATTGGAGTATTCAAACGAGAATCTTGCTGGCCAGATCAAGGTGGGCACAGCTGGTGCTTTCGTCACTATGCATGTTATGTGGCACACAGCTATGGCATATGTTCACAGGTATGTAAGAATAATTACCAAGCAAGATGCGACCGACGAGGATGGCCAAAGCATCCTAGACGAAAGCATCATCACAAGTATACGGAAGACATTTGTCCATGCGGATGCAGTACTCATGATCATGTCTCATGTGAAGCAGAGGAGAAAGGAAGCGAAGGAGTTAGGGGAGACTGAAGTGATTGTCAATGCACCATTTCTAGGACAAGCTATATCTGATGCTTGCGACATATCAATAATCCGAGCGCTGGAATCGAAGGGGGACCCCAATAACGCATTAAAACAGAAGGAAAGAATATATATTGGGTTAATGTGGTTGAAAGAGCTACGCGGATACTGGAAGCCTTTGGAAGGAATGTACAGGAAATTGCGCAAAGCATATAACAAACACCTAGACAAGATCGTATCTCAAACACAACCTGGCTTGATAAGCAACGTTATCCCATCGCCAGATTCTGGAAATGGCAGTGAGATGATAACGGATTACCCCATGTTTCAATTTCCAATCGATCCTTCTACTTACGACTTGCATCCAGACATGGGTATGCATCTTTCAGCGCCTGAGCCCTTGGAATCACAACAATGGCTCTGCCTTCCCGAGAGTTACTACGAAGCGGCGTTTGCAGGCTCGAGTATGTCATTATATGGGATCGCAGAAGCCGAAGGTGGATTCCCTCAGCTGTATATAGACCATCATGGGATGAGAGATGATATAGTGATGGCAACGTCACTCGCGCCTGATTCAGATATGTCCTATCAAGCGGCGATTTTGGATCCACCTTCAATGCCGCTCATGTCTCACCAATCGTTTGACCAGCTTAATGCACATCGACCCAGCGAACCAGATCCCGAGGATAGCGATAACGACTACGAAGATGAAAAGGAGGAGGCTGATGATGGGGATGGGCAATCAATGACGTCTAGTAAAAAAAGGGAGAAAGCAGAATCGAGTTTATCAACGCTCTACTTTCATCCAAACGCCGTCCTTGATGGTAAACTGGGTGATTTATCGGGTTCTGAAAGTTCTGGTCTTGATAGTCGACGACAGAGCGAAGCTGCACCGAAGCCCGAGCATAATAGGATGGATGTGCTTAATCTCTTAATATCAGCGAGTGTCACGCAATACGTTAGAAGAGCTGTGGAGACGCATAATGATTCGGACCTGGGGACTGGACGGCAGGGAATTATGGTTCCAGATGATTGTATATTGAAGGGGGAGGTCAATACGGACAACAGCAAAGACAATGGCCACAATAATTGATGATTTTCAGGCACCTTATAATTTTCCTTGTTTTGAACCTTTGACGCAAAATTCTCTCATCTCTTTTTCTCATATTTCTTTATACTTTGCATTTTCTTTTTATTTTCTTTTTATTTTGCATTGGGGCTTCTTTTCAACCGGCGACTTGGAGTGCTGCTTATTATCATCTTGGATACTGCTTTATTTGTTTTACCTCTTGATTTTTTTTTTTTTGGGGGGGGGGCTGCAAACTTTTTTTATTTATTTGTTTCTCCTTATGGGGTTTCGGTTCCCAGGTTTTTTCTTGTTTCTCTTGGGTTTTATTTGAAACATATTTTTTCTGTGCTTTGGTCCGGGGGTGGGGCGTAGGGGGGTTTTTTTTTTTTTCTCCATTATTTTTTTTATTTCGGATTCTGACGCGATTTTTTCGTTGCACACATCTGTCAATAGATGCCTGTCTATCATCCATCATCCCTCCCCCCCACTATTTATTTTTATTTTTATTTTCCTTTCGAGTGCATGCATAATCGACCGAGTCGAGGAGTTCTCCGTGTCTGGTTGTGTCTGACTTACATATTGGTGTTAAAAAATTGGTGTACCTTTTTTTTTTTTTTTTTTTTTGTATGGGCATTGGAAAAAAACACGAAAAAAGGGCTAGCTGGATGTATCTAATGCTTTTTCTATTGCAGTTCTACTATATCATCATTGTGTCTTTCCTCTTTCTATCTTCTTTTTCTTTTTACTTCTTTTCTGTATACGTCACAAACAAACGGTCCGCCGGGGAATTAAGCCGGAGAACAGGCGCCCCCCCCCCCCCCCCCGCCGCGGTAAAATCTAATCCTTAAAGCTGAATTTCGAAAATATATATATAATTCACGAGGTTTATAATTATGTATTATGTACATGCTGCTGTCTGCCTGCTGCAGTCATCATGTTTTAATTGCGCAGGCCCGGCGTTATGTTATATTTATAGATCTGTGGAGTGGTTGTGCAGTGTTGAGTGTTCTACTTATCTATGGCTTGTGATAATTCGGATCTTTGTGATGATTCGGATCTTTGTGATGATTCGGATCTTTGTGATGATTCGGATCGGTCTTTGTGATATCATGAATTGTTTCTCATGACACCTGAAAGCAAAAAAAAAAGAAAAAAGAAAGGTATGGATGACATATAGAGTATGTAGTCAGCTAGTACATAGCGTGACAAGACATAGAAAATGACAATGAAGGAAAAAAAAAAAAAAAAAGGAGGAGGGGGGGGGGGTGTATGTATAGTTCTGGGTCGTAAATCATCGTACGGGGGGCGTAGCAACGGGTTTCGACACCTCCCGCCCCATCATGACTACCACCCAGCAACCACAATTGACTCTTTGGAGAGCTGTTTTTTTGTATAGTTGTTCAATAGTAGCTAAATAAAGATAATTGGACATTTAATATCTTGTATACCAACCCCTTGCCTTTTATAACAGCTCTATTCTCCTAGGCATCATGCTCTCAACTTATAGCTAGCTACCAAATCTCTAGAGAATAAATCATCAGATAACAGTTCCCAGCAAATGAATTAGACCTTCCTCCATGAGGGGCTTCAATACTTCAGGTAATCTAGCATCATATCCTAAATTGGGGGGGGGGGGGGGGGGGAGGGTAGTGTTGATGGTAAATTAAGCTTCTTGAGATGTACTCAAACATGTTCAATGCGATTTAGGTCAGGGGAATAGGCAAGCTAGTCCTCCAGAACATCTACCCCCACACTCCTCCAACCGCTGAGTCATAAGGGTTGTGGTGTATACCTTCTTTACAAACTTAATAGTTGCAAGAGCACGGGTTACACTGTCTCTGGGCGCTATCGGTGGTCAGGCATTGCAGTCAGGCGTTGCGGCGTTGCGACCTCACGCCGTACCATCATTTACGACATGGCGCTGTGTGTATATCCGGCCACTGCTATTAAATTTTTAAATTAGGTAGATATGAACTCGGGGGGGGGGACACCTACTTTACATTGCTATGCGATAGGATGTATAAAACAGCCATATCATGCTCTTCTCCTCTATTATCCTCCTCCTGCATCCTCCCTTTTTTTTTGGCACCGAGTGCTTTAAATTTCATGATCGATTGTCATGTCCACATGGCGATGAAATTTGGGATCATGGGGTGTCACTCGGATGGTGGGTTGTGGGGCGGGCGGGGGGGTATGTACCCGGGCTGTTGGTACTGGGTGGTTAATTAATGAATTAATTATTTGGTTAATTAGCCTACTTATTACGGTGCTGTATGTATCTGTCCTCCATCTGTGTAAAATTATGGTTAAGAGTAAAGTAATAACATCATTAGTTAGTTCTGATGAGAGATATCGATACCTAAAGAGACGAAAAGAGATTAATGACTAACGCCAACTCCGGCCCTAGTATGACTGCAAAACCCCGTAAGAAAAGAGTCAAAAGATATAAAAGAAATTCAAGATGTCATGTTTGTAGCTAGTTAGTCTACCCCTCCCCCCACACCCCCTTCACCGCCCAGCCCAAATTCGGATCCTTCTTCATCTCGTCCCACTCGCGCAAAAACGCCGCCACACCCAGCACATCCTCCTCAAAGCGGACCCCCCACACGGCGAACCAGCACAGCCGCCTGACCATCCGATACCGCGGCCGATACGCATACTCCAGGAACCGCGGGATCGCCGACTCGGCCTCAATCTCAAACAGCTTCTTGACCTCGGCCGACTCGGCGCTGGCCGGGATCGCGCAGTCGTGCCGCTCGTCCGCCATCTGCCACCCCTCCTCGGCGCCGCTGCGCCACAGCCACGACGGCGCGCGGTGCGCCATGATGCGCGGGACAGAGACCGTCTCGTCCCAGCCCAGCACGCCGCTGACGACCCACTCGCCGCTACTGCTGCTCCCCCGGCGCTGCACAAAGATCTTTTGCGGCGTCAGCGCGGGGTGGTAGAGCACGTTGACGTTATCGCCCAGGCAGCACCCGTAGCGCTCCATCTCGCGCGTGGTCTCGATTAGTCTGTCGATGTAGCCCATCGCCAGCTCGGCCTCGCCGCCGGACGTCTCGCGGTGCTGCCAGAAGAGCCTCCACGTCTCGAGCTGCGTCAGCAGCATGTCCCGCGTCGTCTGCTCCGGGTACGCCTGGATCCTTGAGCGCAGGGCCTCGTCGGCGACGCCGGGGATGTCGAAGCTGTCGACCACGACCATGCCTTTGCGCTCCGCTGCGACAGCGGCGGGGACGAGCACGCCGGCGCGCGGGAACTGCGTCTTGTCCATGTCTGTGAGGAGGTTGACGAGCTGTCTGACAAAGGCGCAGCGCTGCGGGAAGGACATCTCGGGGAGGGCTTCGGCGAGGGGTTTTCCGGGGAGACGGGTCTGCAGGATGTAGGGGAGGGAGAGGGGGCAGTCGGAGGTGTCTTTGCCGCCGTCGGGGTCGTAGACGACGGTGATGGGCGTGCGGATTGGGGTGTGCTTTTCGAGGTGGTACATTGTTGATACTGCGCGGAGGAGGTTTGTGGTGGGGGTTGTTTCGTGGCGGGGGAGGCGGAGGATGTAGTGGTCTTTCTGGTCCTCCTTGGCCGTCTTTTTGGTGGGGGTGGGGGTGGGGGTGGTGAGGGTGATGCCGATGATGCGGTAGCTGTTGCCGCCGGGCATGCGGGTGATGTCGATTGCGGTCTTTGGGGTGATGCGGATGCTGGGGAGGTTGAGGGTGCCGATGTGGTGGAGGAGCTCGAGGATCTTTTTGGAGAAGGTTGGGAAGGTTTCGTGGCCGTAGTCGATGGTGGAGGTTCGGGACATTATGGAGGAGTCTGACGAGGAGGAGGAGGAGGAGGAGGAGGCAGTGGAGAGGCGTGAGGTGATGCTTTGGACGGGCTTTGAGAGGCGGATGGAGGGGATGACGTCTTTCCAGGTTGATGACGGGGGCTTGAGTGATTTCTGGGTGGGGTCTGGGGGCTTGTGTGTGGTTGATGAGGGTTTTTGCATGATTGATGATGGCTTCTGGGTGGAGGTGGGTGGGTGAGGAGTGAGTGAGGAGTGGGCGAGGAGTGAGTGGGGAGTGAGTGGGTGAGGAGTGAGGAGTGAGGAGTGAGCAGTGAGGAGTGAGGTCAAGAGAAAGAGAACACCCCCACAAGCGAGTGCAAGTACGAGTCCCCCACACCGCCAGAGCTGCCTCTCCATACTATGGCTGAGGGCCCTTCCTTCCTCTTTCCTCCCACAGGAGATTCGCAGCTTGAACTTAAGTAAGCCAAGACCCGCAGCACCGAGTGATCGCTTGTGCAACGGGGTAGGCCGGCATTCCGGCCGATGTCAGCGGACTTGGCTCTCGTACACGGGGCGGCTCTCGTACACGGGGCAGCTCTCTCTGTAGTCCCACAATATAAATATGGCCCCCCTGAGGAGGACCCTCAGAGATGTAAAATCTAAGGTAGATCAGATCTCCCTCGATCCAGCAGCTTGAGATTCCCAGGCCAGATCTATAGTACTTGCAGCACCCCGCAAAAAACACCCTTTTTTTTTATTCTTCCCCAAGAAAGAAATGGACACCACCGAGAAAGAAAAGATGCTCCGCGGCGAGCTCTACATCGCCCTCGACCCCCTCCTCTGCTCCGAGCGAGAGCGCTGCGCAAAAGCCTGCAGCGACTTCAACACCAACACCGCCGCCACCCCACTAGAGCGCGCAAACCTGCTCAACAAGTCCCCCCCCCCCCCCCCCCCCCCCCTCCCCCCTCCCCCCAAAACCACACACCTACTAACCCCACCCCAGCATCCTCAACCTCCCCCCCCTCCCCCCCTCCACAGACCTCACCACCCTCCCCACCGTCAACCCCCCTTCACCGCCGACTACGGCTACAACATCACCCTCGGCCCGGGGAGCTTCATAAACTTCAACTGCACCATCCTCGACACGTGCCCCGTGCGCATCGGCGCGCGCACGCTCTTTGGCCCCGGCATCAGCATATTTACGGCGTCGCACCCGCTGTCGGCCGCGGTGCGCAATGGGCTCAAGGGACCGGAGGATGGGCGGCCGATTGTGATTGGGGATGATTGTTGGTTTGGCGGGAATGTGTTGGTGCTGCCCGGGGTGGTGGTGGGGGATGGGGTTGTGGTCGGGGCGGGGGCGGTGGTGACGAAGGTTTGCTTCCCTGTAGATGTTCTGCTGTTTGAGGGTGATGTGTGTGGTGGGAGTACTGCTAATGGGGATACAGAGCGTACCCAGCCATTGCGTCGTAGCGGGCAACCCAGCGAGGATCGTGAAGCGCCTGGAGGGGTTCGTGGAGCCTGCGGGGATGGCGGCGGCGGCGATGGTGGTCGAGGCGAAGGGGAGGGAGAAGGAGGGGGAGATGGAGAGGCTGGTTAAGAGACTTGATGCCCTCGAGGGGGAGCTGGCGGGCGTCAAGGGGGAGCTGAAGAGGTTGAGTGGGTAGGGGGTGAGTATATGGATATGTATGGAGGTTTTTTTGCTTTTTTGCTTGTTTTTTTAGTTATTGGTAGCTGTAGCTGCAGCTGTAGGTATGTGGTATGTGGTATGTGGCTAAGTAGACTATAAACTCATGATTGATTGATGATATCTTCGTAGTCCCGATATTATATCCACCGTATCTAGAGTACAGCCAGTCACCTCTCGCTATAAGGATACGGTCGGGACCGAAAATCTGTAAGAAGTAAGGAGATACGATACGATACTGGTAAAAAGGGTATTTCGGGACCGCCGATCAATGTTGCTATCGTTATAGAGAGTAGGTATCACTATCAATCACCATGATAATAACCATTATCAACACCGATCATTGACCAACTCTACCTACCTTAGTCATGATCAGCCCAACCGACCGGCCGAGGGCGAGCAGTGGCCGTATCTGGAAAAGACATGTGCAGCACGCATAAGATCTTCTGCTTGAGTGTCGAGTATGTACTGTCCTTCACGGGCACTGGGTGTTGACGAACAAACCAAAAAAGAGACAGCCAAGCCAAGTTTTGCCTGCAATCCGTCAACACCCAGTGTCCGCCAATACCCCGTGCACGATAGTATGGAATAAAGCCTTATCTTGTACCACTGCAAATAGAATACATCACTCGTAAGCAGCAGTGCAGTGCATCCAAGTTACAACCCGGTAACCTTCATCCTCTACACTACTCTTCCTGCTTTCTGAGAAATAAATGGTCCCGAGAAAGTTAATGGCGGCGCAGGTCAATTAGTAAGTTAAGTTTTGATTGCTAATTCTGCTTTAATCTATCATTGACCCTGCCCAAGCTAGCTATGTAGCCAGCTGCACATCACGTCACGTCACCCTCCTGGTCCGTCGCGCAATGCGATAGATGGATCGCAAACAGCGTTGTTATCTTCGGGAGCTTTGATATCCGCTCCGGTCCATCGGGGTCCAGACTGGAGGGGGCTGGAGAGCTACAAATAAGGGGCTGTTTCCCCAGTGCGCTGAGCGCTATCACTTCTATACTGTTTGGTCTCACATCAGACTTTGGCTCGCTCAATCCGATTCGATTCGATCTAGTTCAATCCAATTCAATGCGCTCTGCAACAAGATTATAACCCCAAAAAGAAACCAAAAAAAAAAAACACACTTATTATTGAAAAAAAACTCCTTCCAGCTAACTATACAACAGAAACATCTACTGCGGGCAGCACATCTTGTACACACTCATACCAGCGGTGATCAACAGCCCGAGCTGCCCAATGTTGTAAAAGACGCCCTGGTACCTTCCCTTTCCGCCGTCACCCTGCTTGCTGCTCTTGTATCCGAGGGTGTAGAAGATGCGTCCGACAGACCAGATTCCGCCGAGGACGGCGGTGGCCATGGGGTACAGCGGCGCGGAGGCAACCATGAGGGGGAAGACGACGGCGAGGTTCTCCATGTAGTTGGCGTGCGAGCGCTGGGCGCAGTTGAACTGGTACTTCTTGATGTCCTTCTCGGCATCCTCGTGGGTGACGTAGGCGTTGGGGTATGGGACGCCGGCGGCCTTGCGGGCAGTGCCGACAACGATGGCGTGCCATTGACCGAGGAGACCGGTGAAGGCCATGGCAGCGAGGGCGTACCTGTGGGGGAGAGGGGGGGGAAAGGTTAGCCGAATGCGGGGGGGGGGGGGGAAGATGTGGGGTATGTGAATTGCTTTTCTTACCCATGCTCAGGAGTGATAGCAAAGACGGTGGCCATTGTGAATTTGGTAGTGTGTGTGGAGGTGAATTAAGGTGGTAGTAGTGATTGGTATAAAATTGGATTGATTGATTGATGTGGAGGAATGATGTTGATGGGTTTGTCTGTCTGTCTAAATTCCGAATTCTCAGAGACTTGAAGCTGAATTAAGTACTACTCCTCAGCCCAGCTTATTAATGCACCGGGGAAACTATTTTTCCATCGGACAGCGGATAACCCCATATCCGAGAGGTGGAGAGTTCATTAGACCGATCCACTGGAGAAGGCTTTCGAATCATCTAGAGCACTAGAGCGCGGAATTCCGAGTCTACGCACATTTCACGGGCTTCCATGGTCCATGGAGATTTCCACCTTTGACGTCTACCGTTAATTCTCTATCCCCGCTTCGCTAAATCTTAATTCCGGGCGAGAAAAAGTATCTACCTACACGAGTCCGTGAAGTTTGATACGCCAATTCGTGCTTCGGACTTACATACAAATAAGGGGATAGTGGATTATCTATTCGAGAATTAACGGTATTTCTTTCGGCCGGGAGCATGAACCAACCAGGGTTGTTGCATGGGTTGTTACCAGGTGAGGCAACCGACGGTGCATCTTAGCACCGACTCGGAGGGATTCTACTCACCAGCACCAACATGAAGACACGGTATATATCTTCAGGGAAGACCTCAATATTCAGTACTCGTAAAAGAGTGAAAAGAGCGATGTTTTTGTTGATCAAATTCTCGGTGATTTACAGGAGGGCGCAGTGATTAATTAATGAGGTGCACGCGGCCCATCAGAGTTGACGTCGGCGGTTTACGACTACTCAACGAGCGTCGTTATCAAGAAGGCTATAGAATAGAATATAGCGACCTCCAGAAATATAATCCTAAGGCTCATTGATATAGTGAAATGCAAATGCTGAGCTCAGATGGAGTGCAATAAAGCTAGTGACTCGTAACCACACGGGGTTGGATCAGTACTTTTGAGATATCCAAGGCTTCTCTTCTTTTGCTTTATCCAAGTAGAGCAATTACAAGACTCGATCATTCGATCGCTCCCAGGTTTGCTTGCTCAATCGTTATTTCAAGAGCTAGATGCAAGGACTGTAAGGTTTGCTTGGCAAAAGCTTGTTTGTTCCGGGTCTAATTAACGGAACGAATATTGCCGGATATAAAGTTAGAGTACTTTAGACCCAACTGTTGGACGTTGAGAGTGAAACTCGCCTCCCTAACATCATTTCGCTCGGGCCTGCGACTCACGCAATTAATATTAAAGCCTATCGGCTCCATCATGATCTTGAGCAGTATGTACAGCAATGCAAATCAAGGAATAGACTCTATTGAGAGTGCCGAAAGTGCCTGAATGGTTATTGAAAGAGATGGATGGTTAGTTCGAGAGATTTATGGGCGATAAAGACGAGTTTCGCTTAGGACTTTCGAGCAGAGTTGTCCTCTTACTATATTCTCTGGACCGTGGTATATTTTAGTCCTCTAGTAGAACTCTGGTTTATCCGCTAGTCTGGCAGTGGCACCCGCGCTAATACGTCTGATCAAAGCTTGATACTTTTCATACCACATGCAGCCCCGCGAACTGCGCAGAGTTCAAAGACGTTTTGCATCAAGTATCATTCCATTGCATATTGGAGATATTCTATCTAGGCAATTGAAGGAGCAGAGATCCATGCGCATAAGATCTCAAGTCTGGGAACTCTTACCAGACCAAGCACGCGGAAGTTACTGTCCATCTAGTCCATCGAGCTCTAGTTTTTGATTGTTTGCGGGTGGTTCTACCACCAAAACGCTCTACTTCTCCCGGCCTTCACATCCCTAACCCACAGCCCTAACCCACGTGCACATCCCTAACCCACATCCGTGTGAGAATTTATGAACGTACGCCAGCGCTAGTATGTTGGTGATCACATCTGACTGAGGACTTTTAGCCCTCTCTGCAATTATTTACCGCTTTACTTAACTTCTGGATCTCTATATTATTAAATCTAGGAGGCAATAAGCCTGATCCCGCTGTGTTGAGCTTATAGTGCAACGGGGCTGTCAAATATATTGAACACTCCCCTAAATCTACGTACTATCTGGAGACGATAGAGCTTGGGATTGGGACTTTTACTTTCGTTTGAGGTTCTGATAATACATTATTCACTGGCCGGGAAGATTAGTACGTATAACTCGCGGCCTCGAGTTTTTACCTAAGACCCACGTCGAATATCAAGTCCTCTTTTCGCCCTAGCCCTAACTAGCCCTCTTCCCGTCAATCCCCAGCTCCCTAATAGTCACTCCCCCAATGGCCCAACGTCTCCATAATAAGCTATAGTCCAAATAATTCGATCTTTGGGCTAGACTTCTAGTTACATACTATGACACTGCCAAGGCAATATTGCTATATATTCTTACGTGTTATATATATGCAAAAAAGACAAGGGTGTAAGGGCTGACTGTATACGTACAATTTAGGCAGCAAGCTTCTCGTAAAATAGTACGTAGGATAATGGGATTGGTAGGGCGTACATACGGTACAAGGATTTCTAGTTAAGAATCTAGAATTTGGCAAATCAAGTGAACGTTTACTAAATACTTGTAGTTTACGTATGCACCAACTAGAGTAAGCTTCAAACATCTTAATAGCCTCATTCAATTAGTACCAATAACAAAAATAAGATATGAATCCTGAAAGAATTGCACTTCATTTGACATCCCTGAGTTTACCACTCAGTACCGCGGTGCGAACAGTCCATTCGATGTGTCAGGCCCCGAACCCAATAGCATTACCACTCCCCTTTACACAACCCATGCAGTTGCGCCGGAGATCATACCCTGGCTCTCATCATCATCCTCATCGGACCCACAAAACAACCTACCTAGGTACCGCTGAGGCCCAATTACAGACCAAACTGTTGAGCCACCCAATCATTTCAATGTTTCTGTTGAGCTGAGTCGATCGAGTCGTGATTCAAACATCTGGTAGCACGAGTCCTGATTCGTCCCACGCCGGTGACAGAATCAGATTAGATAAGACAATGAGACATAATCGAAGGCGGGAGGCTGCACCGCAGAATGACACGGGTATGTGGAATGGCTTATGTGGTCTAGAATATTGCGGTGGGCAGGTACGTTTCCCTTCCAGCTTGCTCCCATGGACACGAGACTGGTATATGAAACACAATGCTGTTATCGTGGGGGGGGGGGGGGGTGCGCTCAGCGACAGTCTTGTTAAAATGTTGTTTTGTAATGTTTTTCACTGGTTCTGGGTTTATTGGGCTCCGTTTTGTTTCGAACTGATGTTCACGTCTCGTTTTCTTATAATGTACACAACTCTCAAATATAGCCAACGGCGCGTGTATTTTGTTTAGTATTCTCCTGTTGAGAGAAGCAGTATGTAAAGTACATATGTACCTACTCGACATATTCACAAGGCTACTAGAACTTGAGACACAGGCACAACCGGTACACTACTCTGTTCCACTGTAGCCATGCCAAAACCCACTCAATGATAAGTGCCGACATATCACCGAAGGTCTAGGGAGAAGACATAACCACCGCACCACGGGTACCATGGTAAGTCCTTGATAGCACATGTCCAGTATACCTCCATACATGCTTACATGGCACAAAACCACGAAATCTCCCAGTATCACCATGTGCAGAAATATTCGACTCTACCAGCACACTCCACCATAGAGCCTCTCGATGCGTGGATCTAAGAAGATATATGGCCTTAAACCCAATCTTAGACAACTCAACAGCCCACAATCGCAAAGCAGAGCAAGACATGACCCAACGTGATCCATGTATCCTCCCGTTTCTCCGGCTCCCCTTGACGGAACTTAATTATTGGTGCAAGTACTGCGGGTGTAACTTTCGAGAAGGCTTGATATATATATGTTTCCTGGTCAAGCACTGCTGTTTGGTCCCGAGCGATGGCAGGATTGTTGGAAAGTACTCCACGTGCAAAGCTAGGTTTTCATGTATTGGTCTACAGGGTTAGAATATTGAACCTTAGCTCGAGCTTTGTAGTTCGGAAGTTCGAGTCCTGCAGATGATAGCCTTTGGTAGCTAATATAATTCTAACACATAACGTAAAATTATCAGGTGTTGTGTCGTGTTGAGGACGGTGGCTGTAGAAAATGCTGTGCGAATAGCGCAAAGATTCTTCCTACTAGTCCTCGCGGCGAAAAGAACGGCTGCTCAGGCACTCCTGTGCTTGTGTCTAGGTAGACACTACGGGGGTGCATAAGTACTCTGGAGATGGATGTGATTAGGTACTCCGCGCCCCTAGCCCTAGCTACCAACCGAATTAAACAGCATATCGATGATTGACTGTAATGCAGGTGCGAAGCTCGCCAACTCGGATACCTAAAGGGCTTCGCCAGAAGATAAAACCACCCTCAAAAAACAGAAACCTCACGAGAAACCCGTGCGTAACTGCTCAATCTGGCTAAGGCCTTCATCCCCGCAGCACAGCCCATCCATCCATCACTTCCGGCTATATTCACAACTCCACCACCTTCTACCCCGCGATGACCACCCCTCACTGAAACAAAAAACGAAATGAAAAAAATAGAGATCTGGGCTGAATATATTATTCTGCATCAACGGACCGATAGAGTAGAACATGCATCATCGATAGAGTGTCCAATTCTGGTTATGGGTACTTGGAATTTAACTTTGGAGTGGTAATGATTGTAAAACGGGCCTTTTATTGAATTCGGCTAGATGGGGGTGTAATTGATATTTAAATATCGGGGTGGTAGGTAATTATGGGAATGGAAGCTAGGCAGGTAGGTTAAAGTAGACTCAGCAGAGGGATCTGAGAAAAGAGGAGAAAGGGGGAAAGAAAAGATCACCGCCCACGTGCCCACTAGATACTCTAGTTATTCGGGTACTTCCACTTTATAAATATCTCAATTTTCAGTCTTCAGTTGTCGCGAGTTATGGTAGAGTATATGGTAGAGTATATGGTATGTATGTATTTAGCAGAGGTTCCACTCTAAATAGTAGGTATATATAGCTGTTACCTATGGAGTCTACAGAGAGCTGGACCCGGAATTTCACTTTTCAAGACGCTCGGTAGAGTAGTTACTACATGCATGGCTCGTGCACCATACCACACCTGGTGCCAGCTCACGAATACAGCAACATCCCAACTCGCAAGCAAGTAAGCAACCTAGACATGACAAGCAAGGAAGAGAGGGGAAAAAAAGAAAGAGAAAAACTGATTCAAGTACCTATTGTGTCATGATGTGTGCAGGTAGGTGGTCTGCCCTCACTTCCGTAGCAGGCGAGTGCCGGTACCTACTAAAAGTGCTGTGCGGAGATCGTCAAAATGCAGATGTACCTACTAGTAGATGTGGAGTAACTGCTCTACATACCTACCTGTAAACTCTTCTCCCTTTGCTCCTTTCATAGACAGACGTACCTCACTTCCTTCCCGAAACTCACTTCCAGCCTATCGACTATTGCCCCAGCAACCAGGCCTGGCCTACCCCCTCTCGATCTCCTGGTACACTACCCACCCCATCCCAGGCGTCCTGTCTGACCGATCAGTGAACCGAGCGAGGGTCTCTGTTCTGTGTCTCTGGTTGGCCTTCATCCTTTTCCCCAGACTGTGCACGCTCAGCATACCCACGGGAAGAGGCGGGTATCCGTTGCGTTACAGACACAGTTACAGTTACAGACGTTACTTTGATCTTTCGGAAGTCGAGTCGTTCAAGTCGGGTCACTCTCTTTTTACTTATTCTTAGGCCGGGGGAAGGGGTTCACTCAGGTTTATCTATAGGTGCAATTAGACATACTTTATGGTAGCAGGTCCTCAAAGCTGTGCGAACGAATACTACCAGTGCTATCAAAAGTAGAGTACCACCTGCCTTCCAAATAAATTGAACCAAGGTCTGTCTAGTCCTGTTTGCGTTTATTACCTTGGTCTTTTCTACCTGTTTGTATTATATTAGCATTATTTCAAGTATCAAAATTGTTGTTCTCATCTCCAATCCCTACATACCTAGCCCCTGTACCCCCGAAAACCAAAATCTCATCTCCTGTTTTTTTCCCTCTCAGCATCCGATCCGCGCTACAATGCCCGTCGGCCCTTCAACAACCTAACGTCTCTCTACCTCTCTTCTAGTCAAGCTGACATGACAGAAAGAACCTCCAGATATAACAAGTAACCACCATATGCTGATCTGCAATGTGTTTACCTCCCATATCCCGTGGCGCACCTGGGAAATCGCCCCCATCGTCATCATCGTCCACGTCTTCGACCTCCACCGGGCCCAAAAAACGTCGTAGGCGTGGCGAGGATGAAGTTGCGACTCGGGTAGCAGCTGCTACAAGCTCAGGCTCGACGGGAAAACATCTAAGGTCTTCAGCGCCAGTCCGAAGAGGGAAGGATGGTGGTGTTGATGGCGGCCCGAGGAGAACGTCAACGAGGGGGCGGGAGCGGGGCGGGAGAGATAGAGATAGGGACACATCAAGACTAGCACCACCCCGGACCCGAGAGGCAATGGAGAGCCCCCTTCCATCACCAGCCTTCTCGGAGAAGAGAAGTTCATCGAAGCGACATCACCACTCTTCAGCATCAGCATCAACATCAACAAGGAGGAGAAGGTCGGAATCACAAACCTCGACACCAAGGACGCCGGCAACAGCAACCTTCCAGAAGGAGAGAAAGTCGAGAAAGAAGCCCACAGATATGATTCAAAAAGAGCAGATCATCACTATGCAAGCGCCACTACAGGGTGGTGGAACCATTTCTGGGCTAGTCGTGATTCGACCCGGGAGTAGCAGTGAGAGTGGGAGAAGCGGGACAAGCAAGAGCTCATCCAGGGAGAGGTCCAGTGAGAGCAGCAATACCAGTAAGGCAACGACACTGGTGGCTAGCGGGGCTGGAACAGTTGGACTAGGAATCTCACTAGAGAGCTCAAGGGCTCTAACGCCGACTTCGAAAGGAAGGGTGGAGAGATTCATGGAGATTGAACAGGTTGAGCAGAAAGTTGCTCAAGTTACTGTGCCAATTCCAAAAATTGAGGTGGAAGAGGTAAAAGAGGTCGTTAACGAACCCGTGAAGCTTATGAGGGTGATTCCACCTCCAGCTCCAGCCCCAGTACCTCCAGCTCCAGCTCCGGCCCATCCGCTCCCCCCAGCCTCGATACCCCAATCGAAAGCTGCTCATCCTCCCCCTCCCCCTCCAGCTTCGATACCTCAACCAAAAGCTGCTCCCCCAGTAGAAACATATCCCATAATGGCAACCCTTGTATACCCCACGAAAGAATCGTTGGCCTACCAGCCAATATCAAGATACCAAGTCACATCTAAGATAACATCGACAATTCCTAATCCTCCTGCTGTGCGGGCTACACCTTTGGTAATAGATCCGGCAAACGTCCGGCTTCCACCGTCAATGCTGAAATATCAAAATACCTCGCCTACTTCCTCTGTCCACGAACTTCCTCTGCACGGCAGTGGAACACCCGCATTATCAATATCACAACAGTCTTCACTATCATCACTAGTGTCTACGTCAACTGCCTCCTCGGCAGCATCTGCATCATCAATAAAAGAGCCCTCACCAAAAGAACCGCTTATACAGTACCTTAATTCTACCGCATCCTCGTCAACCTCTTCCCTCGTCTCCGCTTCATCCACACAATCCTTTCAATCAGTTAGACCCCCTACTCCGCAACAGAAGGTGAATTATTACCGTTATGCTGCAGTTGCAACTACTCCTGCCCATCGACCGTTGAAGGCGATTATGGACTCCCCGCGCCTACCACGTGCAGGATCTTGGGACGGCATGCCAGGTGCAGACCCAAACCTAGGTGCCTACTACCGTAATGCTGCTGTAGCTGCCGGGAAACCCAAACCAACACAGCCAGCAGCACAAAAGGAGGGACAAGTTGACCTGAAAACCCTTGCTGCGTACTACGCAAACGCGAAACAAAAAACAGCACTTGAAAGGGTCAAGTATGGGCGGAGTGACGAGTCCGAAACTGAAGCCTCGGATGAAAGCGCCAGTGAAATCAGTGCTATTTCCTCGCAGCACTCGTACTACCGTGCACGTACCACCACCATAATAGCCCCAGAACCAGATAACACACTAGCACTTTCACCGACAAACAGAGAACACACCACCATAATTGCTGGGCACAAGGTCTTCATCAGCACGCTCCGCCGCTCCGCACCACAGGTTTTCCATACCGCTCGACCACCACCCGCACCCACGCCACCACCGGCGGGTGGGGCAGCCTCTGCTGTTGGTGATGAAGACGAAGAGGGACCACCAGAGGGTTCCGCTGAGAATTGGTTTAGGGGCATGAAGGAGCAGATGGGGAAGGATACGGGTGTAAAAGAGGGATGGGCCGACGAGGAGGATGAAGTGGTCGTCCCAGAGGGTATACCGCCGCCCGCCCCGACGCCGCCCTTGGCGAGGGAGGAGGAGGAGATACACCTAGATAATGGATATTACGGGAGTCCTAGGATGCCATATGGGTATCAGAGGTAGAAGCCGCGCCGCTGTTGGTTGTGTAATGATGGATGATGTTAATTGGTCTTTGCTTCTGTCTCTTCTCATTTTTTCCTCGTTGGTTTGGTGTTTTAGTCCTATGGTTTCTTATGTCTTTGTGGTTTGGCGGGCGTATACATTGTTTTTTTATCTTTCCTTTTTATACTATCTGTTTTGAGTACTGCGGGGTTATATTTTTTGAGGTTTCCATATATAGCATAACTATAGCTAGCATTGGTTCGGGCGTGTTCTCTTTGGTGTTTTGCGTTTTTGAGAACTACCTAGAGGTGTTTCTCCCATCCCTCCCCGCTTTGATGAGGCCATGTTGTGACAAGAATTGCGAAATTTCCTTCTGTTTTCATCAGAGGAGCTGTGTGTAAGAAGCGTCTTGATATGGGTACGTGTGGATTTTCCTGGTAAAGGCAGTCAGTTTGCGCAATTGCATTGTATATAAAGCGCGGTGAAAGCCCAGAGTTTCATCGAATCCATTGGGATGAGGTTCATCGTTTTCGTAATGTCGTTAGCATTAGGACCTCCGTTTCTGAGGATAGGCCCCATAGAAGGCTGAGAAATTTTTAGCGATTGCCGGTTTTTAAAAGTACATGTAGTGACAAGCATAAGACAAGTGTTGATGACTTTGAAAGGCGGTGTAGGAGATGGGGGCTCGGCACATGTTGATGACATTACTATAAGCCAATACATGTAGTAATAGAAGCTACGATAAACTTCGAAGTGAGGGTTCGACGTTGTTACTGGAATTAGAACACATAATTAGCAACAATAGTAGCAGGATGTTGTTCTTAAGGCTAGCTAAGAAATAAATAGCTCTTTAAGCTTATATACATGTACTTTTTACCGACACTAGTATGAAAAAAAGCAGCATTGGAAGCAGCGGTGCATTCCCTCGCTAATATAGGTTCAATATAAGTATCCCTTAAACTACATATTTCCTCGATTTTTCCGGCGGTATCTATCCCGAGAATGGAATGTTGGCCCTGTTGGCAAAAAATCACAGGCACGCTAGACCAAATAAGGAACGGAAATGATAAATATTTCAGTTTTTGTGACACGGCGCTATATATTTATTCTTGCAAACAATAACACTAATTATCAGTTGTTTTTCTATGAATTATGCCTTTAAGAACTAACCCCTTCGTCCAATATCTCCTTGTTGTTTCCTCTCAATGAGATTTTGGGGACTGGCCTTTGTCCTATGCGTCATGGTGAAAGAAGCCTAGCTGGAGACAAAATGCGAAGCGATTGCGCGCTGATATCTCATGCTATATAAGAGACTACGGATCTTCGCATCTTATATTCCTTAAAATCCAAGCCAAAGAGTATCACGTATAATAGGTGCACCCCGACAGTTCAGACATCCAAGGCGATACCTTCATAAACCGTTACAACTAAATTCGCCACTAGTCCATTGATTTATTTATCATGTGAACCCTTATTTAAAGACAATACTAAGAGTTAAGCTCAAAGAAACACCATCGCGATCAACCAAAATCGCAGCAACCCATTTGGGAAACAGGTCTTAAATTAGGCCCGCGTAACGCTTAGTCGTCAAGGTGGTGAGAACGAGATCGTAGCTTCTCGCACTTTTCTCACTTCTCTTTTCTTCTTCTTCTTCCCTCTCTCTCTCATCACATCTCTCTCACCCTTGTTTGCTCCTTCTTCCTCCCTCATCCCCGTAGTCCATCAACTCCATGGATCCATTGATTGCAGATCGACCGACGAGCAAAATGAGTAACCGTCAAGCTAGAAATAAAAAGATTGTCATCGCAGGAGGTGGTATAGCGGGACTTACACTGGGTGTACTAATTCTTAGCCATGCTAAGGAATTCTATGAGGTTATCATATTCGAGAAAGTAAGATTTTCAACTTCTCATCTATGATCCTTACTGCTTTGAATGGTTCTGACATTGACTCGTAGTTAAAGTTCGACAATAATAACAAATCAGGCTTCGCTATGGCTTTAACCAAAAACTCCTGGAGAGTTTTGGCCACTCTGGGATTCGATCTTGTCAAGGAAGGTATCTCATTGCCGTACGTGAATCCCATTTGAATTGGTTCCTCCTACTTTGGCTAACTATATCGTTATAGAATTAATCGCATAATCATTCACCACGACGAGGATTCCGAGAAGGTATTCTCACACGCAAATAACATTTTCCCTGACCCCAAAACAATCCAATGGGTCGAGCGCGGTCCTCTCCAAAACCTGCTGCTGGAACGCTTCGAGAAACTTGGTGGTGCTATCGTGTTCGAAAGCAGTGTTAATGATATTAGTGTCTGCCCCGATGGGGACTTGGTTGCCATCCTCTCTAACGGCCAGTCTTGTGCCGGTGACTATATTATTGGTGCGGATGGTGTCAACTCCAATGTACGCAAGTACCTCTACACTAAGTATCCGCCCACAAAAGCCCCAAGCCGCTGCCCAATGGGGGAGTTGTGGCCATACAACATTTTACGTCCTTTGTCTTCTTTGGTCCATATACTCACCAGGGCAAAGAAGCCAGAGGTCTGGGAGGCCTCGCCGCTACCTTGGACAGCCCTTTACGGTATTACATCTCCATTACCTCAGCGCCTTCTTACTGGCGGTGAAACAGGCGAAGGGGCTTTGGGAACCATGCACTGGTACCTCCGTGGCGTCTCTGGCTGCTATAGTACCTGCTCTCTTCAAGATGGTCGTGTTTTTTGGGTTTGCTATAATAGTGAACCCGTGTCGAAAGGCACCTACTTCACTGCTGAACAGGCCGAGGAGAATAGAAAAAGCTATGATGCCGCACCTTATTGCAGTGCCATTCCTAATGAGAATGGAGAGGTCCCCGTTGGAGATGCTGAAAAGAATACTAAATTTCAAGAGATTACCTCCCGCAGTGAAAGAATTAAAAAGGTCCGCCTTCATCACACCATGTTCTACGAGATTTCCAATCCAGCCAAGAATATTCTCCTTATTGGTGATGCTGCGCATGCGATGAGTACCTTCCGCGGGCAGGGCGCCGGTATCGGAATCGAAGAGGCTGTCGTTTTATGTAATGGCCTACTCAGATCCGCCTGGCAAGCTAAAGAGCCTGACCTCGAAGCCTCCCCAGAGATGGTCGGGATCGGATATTTTGAGAAGTTGAGGATGGAAAGGAGCGAAAGAATTACGAGCTCTGGATGGTATTTCGGCTTTGCGGTAATGGGTGATTGGTGGATCACCAGAGTTATCAGAGACAGGTTTCTACGAATTGCATTAAAGACCCCAACACCTCACCAATCTGAGGAGGAGGAGAGAAGGGCTGGAGCGGGGAATGACAATGAAGACGGAGCAAATAGAAGGAAGAGGCCCACCAACTGGCTCATTGACCACCAGGTGAATGTGGATACTGACGAGCGTAAGTACTGGCACGAGTACGAGGAGAACGAGAAGATTAGGCTCAATCAATTCTAGGACCTGAAAGGTTCTTTGTCTATCGAGCCAGGTTATTCTTCCAAGGCAGCCCGGCGATGCATAGATCTCTTTCATATTCTGATATTTCACATTTAGTCTCTGTTTACCGCTACCTGCCTGTTTTTCTAGGGGTTCATAACCATTGATAAAAGGTGTTCTTTTTAATTCACCCCACAGACTGTTCAGACCGAAGAAAACCGGAAGGTTATGATCACCACCGGCTCATGTTACATATTCGTTTTGGATAAGGGCTTCTCTTTAATCATTCAACGTTTTCCAAAATCTCAGGGATCGCAATTATGTATCTGCCAAAGATTCCGTCGCGGGATATATAGATCTGTCTCCGGAGTCGCTGTTTTTCTCAGGAGTTTTATCTAGGTATTAATATTGGGTAATGACTAATCGGCCAGAATTTATTTGAATCTCGAAACCACTGTGCCACATACATGTATCTACTAATAATCTTCCTTCTTTGCTGACAAGGTCTGCTAACAGAGTATTTGCTTCGGGTCCCAAGGTAGCCACTTTCGTCAAATCCGCTTCCAACATGATTGGAGAAACCACCATTCAAGCTATTGGTTACTCCTAAACGATTACTCATTTACAAAGCCTTATCATTGACAGCGTTGGCACCCCTGTAGCATGCACAACACGCGCAGCGAATGATAGTGAACGGATCTGCTGCAGGGACTGATTAGGAGAAATGTTACGCCTCTAATCACATGCTAAAAAGTAAATATTCTGAAGATATCAGATTCTACTCCAACCTATCGTTAATGTCGGCCGCGGATTAGACGTATGTATGTCGGTCCTTTCAAGCAAGAACATGTAGGTAGGTTACTCCGACCCGAGTGGCCCGTAGACGCCCGGAATAATCCGGGTGAAATGGGTATTTGAAACCCGTCCGCCGCCCTACTCCAGAGTACTGTGCTGTGAGGCTCAGGTGATTATCACGACTTGACTCCGCAGTGATGATTTTTTTCTTCTTTCCTTTGCGTGTACGTTGAATTGACAGCGTAGCTAAAGCATATCATCATCAAGCATGATTGCATGTTCGTTTTGAGAAAATATTGGTATTTTCTTATGAATATGATCCAGATAAAAGAGTTACCCCACTTGTGTGGGGTTGTTATGAAACAGTGAGATGTAACGGGACAAATCAATAAAAAGAGCTCTCCAAAATGACCTAACAAGGTTGCCATATGTTCCGTCCAGCAGCAGACAACCTGAGCCCCTCCCATATCCCATATCGTGTTCTTTTTTTTTTTTTTTTTGTCCAATCCGTTAATGAATTTCGAGGCGATATGCCTGGTTAAGAAAGAAGTCGCTTGCTTGTTCGCATAAAAAAGAAAGGAATAAATCAAGAAAAAAAACAAAAACTGGAAAAAAGGAACTACTCGGGTATGAAAAATCCAATCCGCTAAAGAAGACACCTGGCAATTTGTGGGTATATTTGTTTGGTATTCCTGACCGCATTTGATTGATATCTCCTTAAGATTCAGCCTTTGTTCGATTTAAGAATCAAGATAGGAAAGAACCTCGGGATAATAGAATGTTCACACTCACATTGCTTTGATGTTGAAAGAAAGAAGAAAAAAGATCTAGAAGGCCCAGCTGCTTGTAAAATTTCTGTTCGGTTTCAGAATGAGTTTGAACTCTTCTTCCGAATCATCGTAATTGTCGTCAAAGTGTATGCCGTATGAACCCTTCCCGAGGATTCTCCCGGCCTGGTCAAGAAGATTCACGATCTCCGACTCATCGGGCTCCACGTCGCCCTTGACCGACTTCGGGGTCTTCGGGTACGGATATTCGGAGAGGCCAGGTGTGTCCGCACGATTCGCTTCATAGTCAAGAGGCGATTCTTCGTGGGCCACGGATGTGTTGGACGGCATCTCAATCACCTGCTCGACAATCTTCCCGCCCTTCGATTCAACGTCGATGCGGGGAGCCGCAACGTCAACCAGCCCGTCAGGCAGATCTTTCGTAGTGGCCATCATGTCTTCATTTGATTGTGATTCTGCTGGCGCTGCATTTACCACAAGCGCTGCCGCTGCTGCTGGCTGATCTTCTGGGCGAGGTTTGATATCCAGCTGACCCTGTAACTCTCTCACGGTGCCCTCGAGCTCCGCGATCCTTTGAATAAAAAGCAATCTCTCCGATTCCCATATTGACCTTTCAAGGTCCTTTCCTTGGCGTTCGTGGGACAGGAGGTTGTGATACTTTTCATGCAATGATGCTAATGCTTGAGAAACTGTGTCTGTGGATGAGCTAAATGGTGTTTCGAACGGGGGCGCACCATCATGGCCACTATCACCCCGCTTAAGCTTGTTCGGCGGGACCTGCTGGAGAGCAAAGGTACCCGACGAAAAGGAGGGTAAGGTAGGAGGAGCGATGAACGCAAGAGGAGGTGAACGTCGGCCTGCCATCTGAAATTATTTTATCGATCTGAGGTAAGGATTGCGATGAATCTAACGGGTTCCTGTGGCGTGGCGTGAAAGATTTTGTTTCAGGTGCGACCGACGGGAAACCGTACCTGCCCCGACAAATACTTTTACATAATCAGAAAATGGGCCGATTTGGGGGTGATGATGAAACTTCGAAAATAATCAAAGTACTCTTTCGTACTGTAGTCACGTATTATATATGTGTTCTAGATTGGGTGAGCTTTAGTTAGCGAAGATTTTGATCATCTTGATAACATACACTACTGCGCTTTCCCGCTGTCCGAGTGATCAAACATGAAGCATATATTATACAAAATTAATTTCATCAAAACCAACACGTAGAAACACCCAATACTAACAGAATACAAGTAGAGATTTATTTTCTAAGCTATACCAAACGCATATTCAACAAAAGAGTAGAGTCCCCCACTTAATGCGCGCTGGATCTTATGGATTCAAGGTACCCAACCAATCTCTTCTTAATAACAACACCTATCAACTCACCTGTCCTTTCCCTGGTCACGCAGACATGCCTCAGACCCAACTTCCCAAAAAGCTCAACTGCGTATTCCATAGGAGCTAGTTCGCTCAAGACCATAGGAGTTTGGTCCACGAACATCGATAGGTCCAGCGTATCCTCTTGCGTCACGCCCTCGCCATCGCAAATTAAGCGCACGCTATTACAGTCCAGCTCTTTCCCAAGACCAAACTCGAGCTCACCCTCACTGATATAGCCTCTCAGCATTCTATCTTCCACTAGAACCAAACCAGCATCCATCAAACCTCTCCTGCGAAGAAGAGCTAATTTTCCTTCCAACAAATCTCTCGATACGCATCCGTCACTGCCCAGGTGCACAGTTATCTCTTCCATCGTTTGCTTTGGCGGTATCAGCTTTCTCACCAAGGCGTCCTCCTTTCTAGCTGCAGAGATAGCAGCTTCGGCGTCAAGAAACGGATGCCCCAGGATCATCTGCGCGAGGTCATATATCCCCTCCTTTTCTAGAGAATCTGCTGTCCATTTGGCAACAAGAATAGCGATCATATGCGGCAAAACGAACTCCAGCTCTCCCGTCAACTCAAACATGATAACGCATAGAGATAGCGTCATTCGTGTTACTCCAGCTAGCGCTGCCGCCGCTCCAACCATCGCAAAGATGCCAGGAGAAGCATCCACGACCGAAAGCCCAACGAGCCTCCCGAACAAAGCACCAGCATCTAAAGCTGGAATGATTATTCCGGAAGGAACCTTGCAGCCGAAGGTGATTGTGGTAAGGAACAACTTTGTGAAAACCCCATAGATGAGCCACATACGTGCAGCTCTTGGATCATTCTTTTCAACCGAACAAAGCCAATCTTTCGAGTCCTTGGTACACTCAACGAGCATACTTTTTATCAAACTATCACCCCCCTGTCTGGTTATAGGATTGGGATACTGAAGAATCCCGGTTAAAGCAACCACGGCGAAAACCTCAAGAACCGGGTGATTTCTTATGATCGGAATTCTTCGAAACTTCTTGGACCATAAAAAGTTTGCTTTGCAGAACGCAGCGCCAAACACTCCGCCGAATATACCAAGAAAAACGAAAAAAAAATAATCCAGAGGACTATAAGTGGTGTTGTAGGATGTTTCGAAGAGAATTAATTTTCCTGTTCCGAGAGGATTCAATTGCTTCAGTGTTGCAGCCGCTATGAGAGAACAGAAGAACGATCGCCAGAGAACCTTTCGGGGAAAATAGGTACTGATTTCCTGACCCTTATGTTAGGTATCTGCACTAGAAAATAGTAACAATGGCTTGACTTTTGAGACCCACCTCAAAACTAAACAGCACACCTACATACACGCACGACGGTCAACACAGCCATATTCCAAAATCCAATACTATGTCAAGAATTCATACCTCCAATAGGTGCTCCAAAAGCTACACTCAGACCGGCTGCACATGATGCACTTATTATCTCCCTCTGCTTACGAGCATTATCTCTATACTTTGGGAATAACCGGGCAACTATATTGCCAACACACGCAGATATATGCACAAACGGGCCTCCAGAAGTCAGTATGTATAACTCAAGATCCCAACATTTTTTTTTAAAAAATACCTTCTTTCCCAAGACACATCCCTGACCCAACAGCAAAAACCGCTCCGGTAGCTTTGATAAATAAAACCCTAAAACCTAAAAACCCTTTGATCACAAAACCCGAGAGAATGGTTTTTATCTCCGGAATTCCAGAGCCACTATATTTAAAGTTAGCCGTTTAACCTAGCAGACCTATAATGGGAGGATATAAATACCTAGCCATATACATAATCTTCGTCTCATTTTTCTCGCAATCCACTCTTGGCAATACATGCCTCGTCGTCATTGTTAATCCAGCACTCAAGATTCCATACGAAACTGCTACAGCCAAATACAATGGTCCTTTACCCCAACCATCCGTCCATTCCCTCCAATCACTACACCCACCCTCAAGCTCATCAAATACCTTGCAACAACGCCCCTTATCTAAGAGCGGCGACGTGGAGCAGTATCCATCTTTCCAGTCGAACACAGAGGCTTGCGTGATATCAACAATATACGCTACTACCGCTGTGAAGAATCCAATGAGGGCTGCAGCTAGCCACCCTTGCAGCGATTCGAACACTCTGCTCTTTGAGGAGAGATGCCGATGACGAGTGGAATCCTTGATCTGGATAATGACACTGTTAGAGAATTCGATAAAGGTAGCTGAGGACTACTTACCAGCTCGTGCATCCAGTCGATCGTTGTGTATTCATTGTAGGGAAGTCTTTCACCTACTGAAAGTAGTTCGTTATCATCCTCATCTCTTTCGTTGGTCAACAACGGACCTGGTGATGCTGCTTGTGCATCCCCAGATATCTCTGTAATGTGTTTATCTGGCATTTCTTTTAGAGAAAAGAAGATAGCCTTCTTGTCCCGGCCAGCAATGAGTTATGATGATATCAAACGCACACAAGCGAGATGGCCGAAGAACAACACGAATACAGTGTTATTTTGACAACGGCTTCATGAAATTAATTGTAGATCTACAATGGGAGAGGCAGCTTATAACTGGCATCAATTACAGGTTCCGAGGAGATACTGTATCTATAACAACTCTTTTTATAACACCGCAGAAAACTTAAAGCTTTGATCAGGGTTCCACGTGGGCATATAACCTTACTCATTTGTTGGTCCATTTGGTTGATGCTGTCGTCCACATGCCTCCGGCTCGGAACAGTGGACAGAATAGTCTTACGGGTACGTAATGATCTGCAAACTTAGTGTCAGTGTTACTTCGGATGATTTACATCCTGCGATCGTGCGTATAATTATATAATGTGAATCTAGTCTCGTGGCTAGCTAGGCTCCTTGTGTCCATGTTTGCATAGTCTGCGACAAAACTACCAGCTTAAGCTGAAAATCCCCATAACACCCCTTCCTTATACACTACATGTAGTGAGAGGTTTACTTTAGATCGATAAGATTACTACATTTGAAAACCGTCCTCGTTGGCTTCGACGCGGTATATGGAATCCAGATTTCAAAGCAAAGAGAATAACCAGTCATAACCGTCTCTAATATATAGTCAGCATTCCATGGAATTCCCGGACTCGTACAAGAGGCTGAAAGATAATCCTGGCAGAGGGATACGCGTATATGTAGGTACATGTACTATGTACCTATAATGTGGAGATCAGGTAAGACCTTCAGAATTCAAATGCCGACAGGAATTCCGCACCCAGGATACTCTACATCTATATGTCCCCAGATCTAGATGCCTGCATATATGTCTTACCGCAGTTCCCATCTACCAAAATCCCGGATCGACTTTTCTCAAGATTTATGCTTTCGTCACTTTATATCTCCGCTTCCCTGCAGCAGACTACATGAATTCAATCGTGGTCATGTGATTTTATTCGTTGCGGCGGCGGGGTGGAGGGGGGTTAATCACATGACTAGGTATGAACACAAGATTCGACGTAGCCCCCGTGCCGAGACCCTCAAACCCATCCATCTCCATGTATTCTTCGCATCAAAACCGTTCTCTGACCGTCAGCTAAAAGTCTCTTGAGGATGTATACCGTATACCGATACGCTGTGCAGCCTAGAGTTTTGCTAAGCTTATCGGTATACCGAATCCCGGCTTCGGAGCAAGAGTATGTGAGAATACTTCTTTGAAACTTTGAAAGCTTCCGGTTCGTAAAGTTTTCGCTCCTCGCCTTGATGTAAATAGCATATCTTACTAAAGGAATACAAGCGCCATTTATCACGATTTTCGGTTGCGGCAGCCCCCAATTCCAGTGTTATAGATGTCCGAGCTAGATAGCTTGTCTCTAAAGACGATAAGGTCGACCTGGGAGGTTATCCAAAAGGCGTCGAACCTAGACGTCATAGAACAAGTGACCTAGCTTCACCACGCCAATAAGTGGGGTCACAAACAATCACTCGCAGTGCCTTCATTGGGACCTTAAGACACCCAAGAGTATAGGCTAAAGGTGTTCTCGGCCCGGGCATCCGGAATTTTAATAACGGCTCGGTTGGAGTGAACAAGATCTGTGCCTCTTTGTTGTGCCTAATCCCTGGGAAACCGCGTCGTACGGTCTCACTCGATGGGACACCGCAATTGATTTTCTTTTCGACATTTTTTGCGATCACGATTAATTCACTAAATAGGTATCGGACAAGTGATCTATTTGAATTATCTATCCATCTTAAATCCTTAGTTCAGCTTCGTGCTATGTCGTCCCTCAGGTAGGAATTACACGTAGGTCTATATCCTGGATGAATGGGTTGGAGCTAAAAAGAACCTCAAAGCTTGGGTTTTCTTAGGGACGGCGCCACCCGATTAATACGTAAGCCTCAAGCGAGACATGCGGTGACTTCACTGATCACGGACACAAATTTTAGTAAGGATCCAAAACCCGGTGGCCACGAAATAATATTCGAGTTTATCCGGTATTGATTGTCGGTGTAGGGTGTATCGATGCCTAGAGTACCTACTGTCAAGGGACCAAGCCCTTTTTGGAAACTGCGGAGGAACACCTGGGGTAATGTAAAGCGGGGTGCAGGGCCTTGAGTTTATGTGCACTACAAAGGTAAATCAGTGGTAGCTACATGTAGCTTCAGTTCCGTCTTCAAAGTTATCTACAGTCTCCCATATATCGCAAACCTGTCTGTGGTGTCTTAGATCTTAGGCTCGACATCAAAAAGACTCCATAGGTTAGGTACATACTTATCTCACGCGTCGTTGCCTGCAAAAAAGCCATTACCCCGCCGAACTCCAGCTCCAATTGGAGGGGGAATCAAGCATTGTAACACGGGCTAAAAGGTCTGAAATGCACCCCTGTAAATTAAAATAGACCTGACCCGGATCGGACCAGACTATTCATAAGCTACACCCCATGAACCTGCTAGAGTCCTGCTACCAGCCATCTCCCCTACAATATGTTCAACCGCAGAGCGGACGGTATGTATGTATCTAACCAAAGCACCCATAAGCACAGCAACATTCCCCGGTTTGAGCTAAGTCTTGGGCTGAGCTACTGCAGACGATGGGATGACAGTGCCGCTACATACGCCCGTAATCTCGGGCCCCCCGAATGCATAAGACTTTACAAAGTCAGGCATTACATACAAGTCATCGGGCAACTGGACGTGACGCTATTTACATGTAGTTTTATCAAGTCCCAGCATAGCTCACCTTTTGAACTCAAACGGTTGTTTGTAATGTATAGAAAAAAAATATATCCCAGTATATATGTATAACCCGATCCAGGCCCGAAATTCCTAAACGCTTTTTTTGAAATCTCTCAGATTGGGGGCAAAAACTTTATTAAATGAGATCTGGATCGAAGCATGCAATGGGAATATGGTAAAACTCAAGGAGAATTCAGGCTCGGGGGGCCTTGACCCGAAGCAAAGTTGCTATCAATACAAGGCTTTTTTCTACAGCCGTTGCCAATACGCCACGGCCGTCTAGGACGCCAATCATAGAGCTTTTCGGATATTCGTAGCCCCAGATTCCAAGAAGGTAGACCAGGTAGGTCTGTACCCCACCTAGGGTCCCCGGTTGCATACAGTTCGTGGTCCTTGGGCCCCTACACAAACCCAATCACACATCACGACTCGCAAAATTTTTACCACCCAAAAGATGCGGTAAGTGAATATTTAGCCGAGTAATCTCAAAATTTTCCTCATCGGTATTAGGATTTAGCCACTTTTTCTGGGGTATCGGGGGCAAAAATTGGGGTTCCGGTTGACGCACGAGCAAACCGACTGATAATGTGAACTTTAAGAAGCGGCTCTCCCCACAACATCATACATCGAAGTCTCCACCCAAAGGCAAGAGCTGTATAGTCCTTGAGCCTTAAGGATATCGGGGAAGTAATCACATAACATTTTGCCCCCAGGAAATCATTCGCCATGGGAAAGCTTTTCACGTTCAACATCGCGTTCTTCGCGTGTTTGGGGGTATGTTTCACAACCTCCCCAAACATTGATCATATACAGGAGTTTTGAAAATTTCTAACAATGGGTTTTTTTCTACAATTAGAGTTTCTTATTTGGATATGACAGCGGTGTTATGACCGACGTCATTGCATCTAAGCACTTCTTAGGCTACTTTGACACAACAAGTGATTCACCAATTTTGGGAGCTATAGTATCGACCTTTGCAGGTGGTGCTGTGTTTGGTGCCTTATCTGGAGGATATACCATGGACAGACTTGGTCGAAGAGTGTTAGTAAACACAATCCAGCCCAAATTTATGCTCATAGTATTTGATCATTGACAATGTTTCTAGGAGTATTCAAATAGGAGCTGTTGTATGTGTTATTGGAGCAATTCTTCAAGCGGCCTCAACACATCTTGCCATGATGCTTGTCGGTCGTATCATTACGGGGTGGGCAGTTGGAATTATGAGCAGTGCTGTCCCTGTATACTGTGCTGAGCTTGCGCATCGTTAGTTTACCCGTCTACACAGCCTTCTTCTGCTCCAGGATCTAACATAAGTAAAGCCAAGAGGCGTGGTTTTTTGGTCGGGTTATCCCAGCAGATGATTGGGCTTGGTTTCATTGTTTCTACATGGTAAGAGAGACCCTACCAATCATAAAGAAAAGGGAAAATAACATCTTCTTTAGGGTGGGATACGGTTCCGCACATGCCTCAGACCACAGTAGTTTTCAGTGGAGATTCCCTCTTGCGTTCCAAGGAGTCCCCGCTGGAATTCTCGCGATCGGTCTCACCTGGTTCCCAGAGTCTCCTCGCCAGCTTATCGAAAAGGATAATGAAGATGAAGCTCTTAGAATTTTGAAAAAGCTGCATGCCAATGGCCGTAACGATGAATGGATTATGTCTGAGTTCAATGAAATCAGGCAGACGATTCTTGCTGAAAAGGCACTGGTTGTAAGGAGTTGGAGTGTTATGTTTACGGTCCCGCAGTGGAGGAATCGTCTCATGCATGGAGTTATGGTACAGGTCTTTACACAACTCACTGGTATTAGTGAGTATTCCCGAATGGAACCTCTTGGTTGTGTTTTGGTTGTAGCAGTTGCTTATATACGCTCGCAGATGTCATCAACTACTACCAGACACAGATGTATGAAGCGCTGGGAATAACTGGAAAAAAGGCCCTTCTTGTCTCTGGTTTATACAATATTGTCGGCCCTGTTACCAGTGAGTTGCCCGTATAAGGAAAAATCCAAGATGCAAACCAAGTGCTAACTATACTGTAGACGCATTCTTTATCTTCTTCCTTATTGATCGCGTCGGCCGTCGTAAGCCGCTACTCTTTGGAACAATCGGTATCAGTCTCTGCTTGATTGTTGAAGCTGTCCTGAACTCCAAGAACCCTGATGGGGAAAATGAGTCGCTTTCACGGGCTGGTGTGGCTATGATATTTTTGGTATCAATGGTTTTTTCTGTTAGTTTTGGGCCGATATCATGGACTTATATGTCGGAAGTCATGGTAAGCAAATCCCTGGAACCACAATATGACATCAGTCCATGAAACTAACAACCACAACAGCCCATGCAAATTCGTGGAAACGGAAACGCTTTTGCAACTGGTATCGGAAACTGGCTCGTCAACGTTCTGTTCTCACAGGTTTCGCCGCAAGCGTTGGCAAAACTCAAATGGAAATATTACTTTGTTTTCGTGGCCTTCAGTAAGTTCCACATTTCCTCTAACTTACATCACTGGTGTGATTATACATACTGATTGTATCCACCTTCAGATTTCGTTGTCACCCTTCCCACCGTATTCTTTGTCTTCAAGGAGACAAAGGGTGTCTCATTGGAGGAGATTGATCTGCTATTCGGGGAACGCGCCTTGGGGTCCCTGCCAAATGATATTGAGAAGGAACAAAATGTTCACATAGAACATGATGGGAAGCGTGATACCACAGCCTAATGTTTGTTGTTTTAAGGACCTTTCTTGTAATTAGTATGCGTCTATGGGACCATGAAATATGCCGATTTCTGAGATAATTGAATATCAGACATGTGTTTTGATAAAGCTTGAACTTGACAGATATGTGTTGATGGACCTGTCAGTTTTGCTATTTTCCCATAGCAAAAGGGACACACTGATACCCGTAAAAACGATTATCGAGTGTCTTGAGAGCCTCGTGCCCTCCCTTTCTAGCCACCAACTATGAAATCATTCCCTTTCAATCTCTTACTCCAGTATTTGGTTCGAATAAACATCAAACCCTGGAGAATACATATATCCATATATACGTTCTGTACGCACTCTTAGCCTTACACATCCACACCGACGAGCATAAACCTTAAAAAGAGAGGAGGGAGACAACCTGATGAGCGCCGAATGGCATTCTGCGCTAGTTGAAAGGCGAGCCGCGAGCGCGTACACGTATTTTCCACCTCTAGCCTTTGATAAAAAACGTAGCTTCAAAGTTAAAGTTGGTTGCTAAACCAAATCGCTCCTCTAGCGAGGAGCACAATAGTAAGATTCTCCGTCCTTGGTAAGTGTAGCCGATCTCTTGGCCCGACGACCGATGGCGCGGCTTAATTAACTATTGAAGTTAATAATTTTACTTTGAAGCCCCTTTGTGCTTCTTCACAAAAATACGCATACAGATTGTCTTTTGGCGCTTCGTGAAGAGTTTTTCAGCGCTGACTCGCCTTTCGACGTCGGATCTGATAGTGGAAAAGAGGACCTTGGCTAGATAAGGACAAGCTATGTACAGCGCCGTACCTATATGAAGGGTCGGTATTGGACGTGGGGGTTCCTGGTTATTGCTCAGATGGCTGAAGTATAGGGCTGAGTAAACATCTCATGAGATTGCGTGTGCTTCTAGACGCCCAAGCTATTCCCATACTACACGGTAACCGAATTATGTATGTATCGCTCAGGGGGTAGAAACGTAGTGGACCTGCAGGCATCATGAAACAGTCTTTGTTGACTGACAACACTTAGACTTTTCATACAGAGAGAATATGGACCTCCTCTCATCCATCACTGAGCAATGGTTTTCCACGACGTTACTTATGAGTGAGAGGGAGATAGAGCTCTCAAACGTGAATTAAGTTTAGGGAGTTAGGTATGAACCTACGTGTCGCTGCAATCCATCCGCTGAGAGCGGTCAGTGGCTCTTTGACGATTCACCTCGTCAAGTGCCTACCTACTGTTTGACGATAGGCAGTCTTGCTGTCGAATCAGAGGCACCCATCCTTAGCGAGAAATGATAAAGGTCCCACTTTTCTGCAGAGTGGCGGTCGAATGAGGTAGTTATGCAGGACCAAGCTTAAGTGGAAAGGTTCGCATCGAATCATGCATGGGTATACCGTTGCGCAAGCTCAGAGCCTCAGGGGCATGGCAGTTGACACCCCTTGTCCGTTTCGATGTGCACAAAACGGGGACGATAGAGTTTCGACGCAGGTGTAGTTTTCACCCAAAACCTAATTCCAATGGCTCAAAAAAATTTAGAGAAGCGAGAGCGCGAATCCCAAAGATCTGGGCAGGGGCTGTTAATGGCGGCGCATATTCAAGCTGTGCTGGGGACCAACAAACTGATTAAACTTGAATGCGGCTTCGCCGGAGATAACTTTCTTTGATGCCAGGAACACAGACGGAAAGGGTAGATTGCAAGTTGCAGATCATTCAATGTTTCAGACATACCCCAAGCCCCGTCGGCCCCTCGCCAAAATTTAAAAATAGTGAATCACCGCGTCTACACTTAGCTACCATAGAAAGTGAGTCGAAAGCAAAGAAAAACATTAAAGACTATTTCATCCACCTCCCCCCCCCATTCTCTTCCTCTCTTTCTTTCTTTCAGTAGACAACCCTTTCATAACCACACTCTCTAATCCTTGAATTCGTTCATTATTCATTTTCTGTTTACTTTATAAAACATACTCTCGCTCTCTGAAATCGTAGGTGTTTGATAACATTTTCACCATTTACCCCTTACCTCGATCTAACACGGACATCCCCACCGCAGATAACTTAAACTTAAAACCACATACCCACCGTCATGGTATCTTTCACCAGCCCCGGTGCTAGTCATCGGCAGAATCTGGTCACGTTTGGCTTTTCTGTAAGTACAACTTTCCCCCTGACCCACGTGCAAGCTTTATGCACGCACCTCTGGATCATTCTTGGCTGATGTAGCTTATTCTAACCTCATCTTCTAGATTCTTGCCCTGGTGGCCACTCTTCAGGCGGTCTCTGCTGCTTCTGTTCATGGTGTGCATCGCCATAGAGGTCTTCACGTCGAGGTGGAAAACACCACGCTTAGTGTCGACACAGAAGGCACTTTTGGAGTCGATGCAGAAGTCGACGTTAATGATAATACTCCTTCTTCGTCTTACTGGCTTGAGACTATTGAGAAGAGGGGTGTCGCCACTTTCAACAATGCTTCATCCACATACAAAGTGTTCAGGAATGTCCGTGACTATGGTGCTAAAGGTATACTACTCTCACTCTCCCCCGTTTCTCAAAATCGGTTGCTAATCCAAAATAAACAGGTGATGGAGTCACTGATGACACAAATGCCATCAACGCTGCCATCCAGGAAGGTGCCCGCTGCATGGGCGGAACCTGCGACTCCTCGACCGTCACTCCCGCTGTAGTTTATTTCCCACCTGGAACATACTCCATTTCCAGCCCTATCATTGCAGTTTACTATTCCCAACTCATCGGTGACCCAACCAACCGCCCCACCATCAAGGGTACTGCCAACTTCACTGGTCTCGCCCTCATTGATGCTGACCCGTACATCCCCGGGGGCTACGGTGCCCAGTGGTACACCAACCAGAACAACTTCTTCCGCATTGTCCGTAACTTCATCCTCGATACCACTGGTATGACATCCGTCGAGGTGCCTACCGGTATCCATTGGCAGGTTGCACAGGCAACCACTCTGCAGAACATCCACTTCGAGGGTTCCCAGAACGAGACCAGGAAGGACCGTGGTATCTTCATGGAGAACGGGTCTGGCGGGTTTATGAGCGATCTCTCCTTCAACGGTGGTAACGAGTGTGCATTCATGGGAAACCAACAGTTCATGACCCGTAACTTCACCTTTACCAACTGCAAGACTGCAATCATGATGGTCTGGAACTGGCAATGGACCTTCAAGTCCGTTAACATCCAGGACTGCGGCGTTGGTATTGATATCTCGTCTGTGGATGCAAAAACTGGATCGGCAACTCTTGGTTCGATGATTGTTCTTGACTCCTCCATCTCCAACACCCCAATCGGTATCCGCACAAACAAGACCTCGATCTCCACCCTAGATGCTGCGGGCACGGTCATTCTCGATAACGTCCAGTTCAACAACGTCCCCAAGGCTGTTTTCAACATCGGTAACAATGCTACCATCCTTTCCGGAGAAGGTGATACTACCATCGACCTCTGGGGCCAGGGCAGAGACTACTCTGGTGGAAATGGCACTGTTGCTTCAGTCCAGGGAGTTCTTACCCGTAACGTTGAAAAGCCTGCAACGCTTCTTACATCTGGCTCAGAGACCATCTTCGAGCGCACAAGACCCCATTACGAGGATGAGGATGTTTCAAATTTTGTCTCCGTCAAGGAACTTGGTGCCAAGGGTGACGGTGTGACTGATGATACCGAGGTTCTCAGGACTGCTTTCAAGGAAAATGCGGACTCAGGGAAGATCATCTACTTTGACCACGGAGTGTACATTGTCTCTGACACTGTCTTCGTTCCCACTGGAACTCGTGTCGTTGGTGAGGCTTGGTCTGTCATTATGGCCAATGGTGATGCTTTCAAAGATGTCAACAACCCCATCCCTGTCTTCCAAGTTGGAAACCCTGGCGACGTTGGTACAGTTGAGATGTCTGATCTCCTCTTCCAGACCAAGGGTCCTCAAATTGGTGCAGTGCTCCTTGAGTGGAACTCCGCCGACCCAGAAGGCGAACAAGGTGTTAACGCCATGTGGGACGTCCATTTCCGTGTGGGTGGCTCCGCTGGTACCGACTTGAACAACGCTGAATGTCTGGCAAACGAGCTTGGTGCCGGAACTGGAAACGGCACCGCCCGTATCACAACACCAAACACCAGCTGCTTTGCCGCTTTCATGCTGATGCACATTGGAAAGACTGCTAGTGTCTACATGGAGAACGTCTGGGCGTGGACCAGTGATCATGCTCTTGATGCCCCATTCAACCGTGTCACCCTCTACAACGCCCGTGGTATCTATGCCGAGAGCGAGGTTGGCCCAGTCTGGATGTACGGTGTCGCATCAGAGCACAATGTCCTCTACCAGTACCAGTTCCAGAACACCAGCAACGTCTTCATGGCTGTCGGCCAGACCGAGACTCCCTACTATCAGTCTAACCCTGTCGCCACTGGTATCTTCCCCGTCGACAATGAGTTCAACGACCCTACCTACGAGACTTGCACCACTGCCTCCTGCCGCAAGTCATGGGGTCTCAGAATCCTTGAGAGCTCGGATATGCTGGTGTACGGTGCAGGACTCTACTCTTTCTTCGAGGACTATAGCACAAACTGTAGCAGCAGGGCTGGGGGCTCAAACTGCCAAGAGAACATGTTGGAGATTCAGGACAGCACCTCCATCAGTTTGATGAACATTAACACCATTGGTGTCATCAACATGGTCACGCTGGATGGAGAGCCAGCTGTTCAGGCGTCAGATAACAGGAACTCCATGGCAGATACCCTTATTAGGTTCGATGTGGTCTAATGAGGATAGCAAGGGTTTAAAATGTACGAAGTCATAGTCACGCTCTTTTTCTTCTTTTCTATGTTTTTAGGTTTTCTTTCCGGCGCGGCTTTTTGAGGTCTTTCTTCTTTCTTTTTTGTGATGGCAGCGAGTATATACATACCCTGTATTATAGATTTAATCATTGATGCTGCTGGTTTTTAAAATTATGTTTTGCAATCTTGAGGTTGTTGTACCTACCGTGTTACTGTAGAAAAAAAATTAACTTGTCATAACTTGCTGTTGCCGAACATGGCGTGATATTCTGTGATTGGCGGGTCCTTACTATACCCAGAACAGTGGCTCTTGGCATCTTTGCTTCTTATTTCTCCTTGATACACTGATGATGCAAGTTGGTGTGACACGAATTTACTACGAAATATATTCGTCGCATGATTCTGCACGTTTGATTACAGCGGGCGTAGTTATATGGCGCAGGAGGCACGTATTTGGAATTAAGGGTCATCGTATAAGAATCGCTCTATTGAACTTTGTTTTTCGTGTTTCGTTGTGGTGGCGGAGGTGGAGAGGGCTACATATATGCATGGTGTTTGCTCAGATATTATCAAGAAAGCTTAGTACATACATGTAGCACTTAAAGTATGTACTCGTACATGTAACATAGAGTAGAGCGAGTGATAATTTGTGACTAGCTCAGCTGTTGCATCATTAATACATGTATTAACGGTATTAACGGAAAATGACTTCCTCTTGGCACACTGCCAAGCTCAAGTATGGGCGTGGTCTAGTAGATAGGCTGCTCGTTGTTGGGCACATTAGGTGTCACGGATTAGTCAGCGTTCACGTGACGACATAGACAATGCTTTTGTAAGGTGTCCACAGCAGGACTACCTCATAGTTAGATTTGTAACTTCCTCTTCTTCTTCCATCATCTATCATCATTCATTTTGTCGTCGTCGATAACGCAAATGAAATTCTCCCTCTGTCTATAGAACTAAGAAAATATTTATTTCATCGTTCGGATCGTCGTGAATCCAAACACAAAAGAGAGTGAACACAAAAACCGGCCAACATCGTCGACACCGAGAGTACCCAGGATACAACCAAACACACATAAGATCCTGGGCTCAAACCAGGGGTGGGGGTAGCAGTCGCAAATGTCTTAATAAGTCGGTGCAGTACCTTTTGTAGTTTTATAGAACGCTTTTTTCTTTCCTTCTTTTCTTGTAGTGGAATAAATTAGGAATACATTTTTAATGTTTAATTTCCCAAAACAAGACCCTTATTACTGGCATTTTCCGATGTCTTTGTTGAGTAGACAGCGAACTGTGTCTTTTTGCAGCATGTGTTATTGCAGAGCATGTATACCGAAAACTGTGTTATTTTAGGCCCTTTCCATATTGATTTTATGCGTGATTACTATATATTGTGTAATTAAATAAAAAGAATAAATTGCACTCCCGTCATCCACTCACTCTTTTCCGCGCAAGGAAGCGCGAAATAGAAAGAAAGAAAAAAAAATGGAAATTGAAGGGAAGAGGAAGCGGTACGGGGACGTGATGCTTCGCACGCAAATCCCCTAAACATACAGGTATGCTTGAGGATTTAACTACAAAACTCAATCGTCCTTAGATTTGGCGCGTACGCGGAGCTCTTAGCTAGGTAGTCCAAGTCCGCGGAATCCCTTCGTCATGAGGAAGATCCGGACGTTTAATTTGGGAAAGAAAAAAAAAAATACAACCAAGGGTGAAATGTTTATACGCGCGCGGTATATAATAAAGAAATCTCAGAATATTAGTAGCAATGGGTTGATCTGCGGTGCCGCTTTTTTGTCTAAAAGCAGCGAATTATATATACTCTAATGAATTGCTCGTTCCCCCCACCCCATCACCTAATTGCAAGGAAGCGCATAGCTACCTCAGCTTATATGGTTAGTATCAATCCTATATCCACCCAACAAACTCGACCGCTTAACCTTCGTTAGTCCCCGCATCATGAAAAATGACTCGACTACCCCCACCCCCACCCCCACCCCTCAACCCCGACGAATCCACCTACCATCGTGAAACAACTAAACAATTAGACAGGGCCCGCCATCCAGACACCTATTTCACCATCCCGGATCTCGCCAAGTTTAACAGCCCAGGCTATCCTTTACTCCAAGCTTCCTTGAAACAGCCCAAATACCGCCGGCGCCACTGTCTTATCTCTACCGGTACCAGCTACCTCTACCCCTAGGTCTAGGCTCTAGATGCCGAGGTTTTCTGCGCAGTCACGCCTCCAGGTTCTTGGGTTATGGGGAATATACGAGAAATGGCGGCGAAAAGGCTAAAATAGACAACGGACAGCGGTGCTCCCTGTTCGGGGTACATACAGGGATTGTCCTGGTAGGTTCGCGGCGATGCGAAGAGATGAGATGAGCTAGATGAGATGCGGAGCCCAGAGAGGAGTTCCTGTTGGCTCGTTTACGGCTTTGGTCGTATGTAGCTGGTGGTTGGTGGTTCCTGGCTGGGGGATCTGAGTGGATGGAAGGGGCCGAGTGAGAGGCTGTGTTTGTAACTAAGCGGGCCAATTGCAATTGGAATGGGGGGTTGTGCTCATACTTCTGGATGGGCCAATAGGTGTTAGTACTTTTGCGTCTTTTGTGGTGCTGCGGCTGGCTGCGGCTGGCTCGTGTGAATGTTTTGCTCTGGCGGTTACGCTGTGTGTTGGTGTCGTTGGATTCTTGTTTTTATGTTGAGTTTTGGTTTTGGCTGTGGAGTGTGAGTCCGGTGGGGTGTGGTGGTGATGTGTTAGTATTAATTCTAATTCTCAATCCTGAATATGAGTGCCATGTGTAGGGCCCGGGAGTGAAGGAGTATAGTACCAGGGGATGGTGAGTAGGTATAGGAGATCTCCGCGGGGAAGGGGGGTTCAATACCCAAGCCTTGCAGAGTGGTTCGTATGCTTTGCGCGCAGTACGCAGTATCGACAAAGATCGCTGTGCGACAAATGCGGCTGCGGCTAGCTGTGGTTGGTATAGAGAACCAACTGTGGTTGGTATTAGAGGAACACGGGTTGAGTGGCCATGGGCGGAAGACCCCCGAGTGAGAACTCGTGTTTCTAGACGCGGGGAAACACGTACCAGCCCGTTCCGCTCTTAGGAGGGCGCTTTGAATAAGGACTGCTAGGAGCTAGCTAGAGCCTTTGAAATGAATCTGTTCCTGCGAGATCCATAGAGCACCCGTTGCTGCCCAGGCGCATGAGTTGTGAGTGATAGATCATGATTCTTGGCTTTTATGAATAGCGGAAGTAGCCATGCCACACCTGAGCGAAGGAGGGATCGGAACCACCCACACTCACTGAATCCCTTATTTTCAGCTGATGCAGTGCGAACATCACATCTTATGTACAAACCAGCAACTACCACCCATGGAAGAATCACCAATATTATCAATCAGTGCACTGGTAGTAGCTCAAAATGACCCCGGAATAATGTACGAATTCAAAGTATACCCACTTGAGATGATGTTCGACTGATCTGATACATGAGGTGAAAAAGCGCCGTCCCGAACGCTCGGATCGATGATAATATAGACGCCATCGAGAAGTGCCTCCGGCGTAGAATGACGGCGTCTGTCGAAGAAAGACAGTTTTTGCGCGGCGAGTCCTCGGACGAGTTGAGAAGCCAAATTGTTCATGCTATTGTTGACGGATCCCGGGGAGTGTATGGCGTTTCGTATATATATTATATCAAGTACATTCTGAGTAACTAGAGCTAGAGGCTGATGTTTGTATATAACTAGCCACGCTTCTGATAGGCTCTGGTGGACCCAGTTTCAGATCGAACTAATACTTTCCCTGAGCGCCGAAAACGACGTGAGGGAGCGTCTAGCAAGGCCTCCACAGAGTCTAGAAGAATTATACGAAGCTACCTATGAGCGGATACAAACAGAGCCAGTTCCAGGGCCTGAGATCGCACTACAAACATTGATGTGGGTGTTGTGTGCATTCGAGCCATGCTCACCCGACGAACTGTCAAACCTGGTCTTTCTGACCCTCCCCCACGAGGAAAAAAGGCTGGCGGGAAACGTTTTGCTCAAGTTGTGCCATGGACTCCTTATCATAGACCGGCAGTCGGACGTTGTGCAGATCGCGCATCCGTCAGTGCGAGATTTCCTCGAAAGGAGATGTGCGCCCATGGCTGCTGCACATGCTCTGGTTGCTAAGATTTGTCTTGCCTTCCTGGGTGGGCTGGACACTCTGGTGGAGGTCGACTTGGACGATTATGCCAGCAGGTATCCGGTGTTGTTCTGGCCGCTGCATGTACAGGCGTGCATGGACCAGCAGGAGGACGCAGAGTTATCGGAGCAGCTGATAAGGTTCTTGAATACACACTCTAAGGACTGGTACAACGCATATGCGGATTTGTTTGATACTTATCGAATACCAAATTCGGAGCGCACCTTCGAGTACCGCATGCCTGAGTCTGGAAAAACCCATGAGGTTGAAAGGAGCATGGGGGAGATATTGATAGACTCCATGGAAGAGCTCAAGTTTGACGAACTGACCCCGTGGCATATCGCCGCCGTGTATGGATTTGGAGAGCAGCTGGAGGCATTATGGGCACTGGAGCCGCCAAACATCAATGCCGTAAACAAGCATGGGCAGACAATGCTCTTCATTGCGAGCAGCAACGGATCATTGTGGATTGTCGAGACTCTTCTGAAGAAAGGTGCGGACCCCAATGTACCATGCGCCACTGCCGGGATGACGGCCCTCGACTCTGCGGCTTTCCATGGGCGATATGAGGTAGTGAAGCTTTTGCTGGAGTGTGGTGGCGACGTGGAGGGAGAAAGAGGGGAGATCAGAAGCGTCGCTCTTTGCTGGGCGGCTGCGAAGGGTTTTTACATGATTGTGCAATTGCTTCTGGGGGGTGGAGCGGATCCAAATGTTAGATGCACGTATAAGAAGTGGGGTGCCCTGTATGCTGCTTCGAGTCTTGGGCATTGTGAGGTGGTAAAGCTGCTTTTGGAGAACGGGGCGGATGTTGGTGTTGAGAGTGGTGATGAGGGGAGTGCTTTTGATGTTGCGGTGAAGAATGGACAGAGGGACGTGGTTAAGCTTTTGCGGGATCACATGGGGTTAATAGGTACTGCGGGTGGCTAGATCTAGGCCTAGGATAGACGATCGTTGGAACTACTAAGTGCGGGCCAGTTGTCCTTGTGCCAGTGGTGGGCATAAGGGAGCGACTACATGTGCATTATACGCAATATATCATCTCATCTTTTTTTTCAACATGACAACCTCATGCCCGCGCCCGCTGCCGGGCATAGGTGTACTCCGCTAGGCGCGCTTTAGGCTAGTTTGCATCAAGGAGCGCCCACCACCTATGCCCGTCGGCCATGGATATAAATAGTCCCAAGACTACCCCTCTGTCATACTAGTGATAAACCCAAGACCATCAACGAAGTCGATCAGAATCGTGTATATAAATAACACCTAGGGGTTGATGCTGAACTTCAGTCATCGCCCTCGTCCCTGCTTGAAAATTCCTACCTCCAAACACTAGAGTTAAACACAAACTCTAGGCACAATATACCTGATGTCGATACGAGACAATGTTCTATGTCTGATCGCCTTACACCAAACCAGGCTTCCTAGCTGACGAGGGGACCCCTGCAACATATTGTACTAGCTCTTAACAATCGTGTAACAATCACCACCAAAAGACATCGACGTCGATATCCCCTGAACTGACTAAAATCTAGATTCGACTCCACTCCTCGTCCCTGGGTGCTGCAGGTACCGCTAAACATAGATACTGACACAACAACTGGCGGCCCAACCGAGCACTGGGTAACGAGATCGAGTGAGAATCCGTGACTCCGCGAATTCCTTGATCCCAGAGATAGAAACCTAATCCGCTAGCCTTAGAGACGGAAAGCGAACTTACAAGTAATTGCAACCTCTTCTACCTTTTGTGCTCAATTGTTTACTCATCTAGGTGACCCCTCCCTCTGCTACCACCCAACCTTGGCACATCGGAGAAAACACCGGCCACACACACACTCACTCCACAGTCACCCTCAAGCTTCGCTTCTAGGCCCAAGTTAAGCTTTTACGCAACTAAAAAGTTTCAGCCGCACTCTTCTTGATATCTCTCTCCCGTATTTTCTTTTTTCGGCCGTTAGTGCGAGGCCGAGGTCGAGGTCGAGGTCGAGGGCTGAACATCCTTTTCTCCTAGCTGCAGCTGGTTACCAGGCTTATCAAGACGCCGTGTGCGCGCATTACATGTAGCTATGGTGCCAGGTACCGGGGAGGAGTGGTGTAAGATGCACAAACTTGGGACAGGTACTTGTGCTCCTGCGTTATTGCGGCGCTCGTATATACTTGCGGGACTAACGGTGGGTGGGTGAAGTTCCATCTACCGGTGCACAGGGAGTTCTGGAATTCGAAGCTTGCGGTTGGTTCTTGCTCTTCTAGATTGCGAATCCGATTTCGCACTGCATGTCGTGGGTTATTTTGTGGAGGCGCATACGCATTATTAGTAAGGCTCCTAGTGTCGAGGGGGGAGGATCGAAGTAAGAAGCTTGGCATATATAGGTGCTGCTATCGAGTGAGAAGCTGTGTTCCTACGCGTTGGATACGATCAAAGAACTCAACTTCAGCCGCCGACCCTTACCCTCCGCGCACCATTCACTCCCCCTCTCTCCCCGCCCTCGGCCCTGGCCGAAGATTTCGCACCGCCGCTTAACGGGGTGTAGTTTGATGCAAACCCTCGACTGGCCGGCCTCCTCCTAGCTAGTTCCGCGGTATACAGTGTATATGTATGGATGGACCGCTCGATGCCGTGTGCACGCATTGCTTTCACGAGTGCATGGATCGGGGCAGGTATTGAAGAGCGCTCAGTTGCTGTGTTGCAGTATATTTTAAGTTCCCTATCTGGGGTCCGGAGTAAATGAGTGTACTACACGCACTTTGTTGATCCGAGTCCCCCTGGCCATCAATAGGAAGAGTGATATTCTATGACCGCAGCCCAATACGAGCCGGGCAGAAAAACAAGGTCTTTTCCTGATGTGTACTTGGAACCGGGAACGAGCCATTATCTTATGTGGCGAGGGTTGCTACTGCGATTCAAGGCGAGGTTTCTGTTGATAAAGGACAGCAATGACAGCCGGTCAGTTGGAGGGGCGGGTATGTACGTGGTCCTCATGTAGTGAGACGGTATTTGTCTTTATTGTGGATTGGTTAACTGGACACCGTTCGTTTCAGTGAATCGCATTTTATCAATTTAACATTTTCAACATAGAGTCTAGAGCCGCTATAGACAGAATCCGCGATATCACGCAGAAAAACTTATTTACAACCTCCCTCCAAATCGAGACCCTCCCCCGAATCATCTGTAACTTCTATATATACATACATGCAGATTAATTAACCCACATACTCTATAGACAATCAACCAGCGCCAGCGTATATATAGATATATTACCGCCAGTCCTTCATCTCTATCTATAACACCAGTTTAGTAATTACCCCAGATCCACAGATTTGCAGAATTCGCAATTATAATCATACACCCCCCTCCCCCGTACCAGATCTTTGCTTACTCGCATCGATATTATATTATTTATAAGTTGCTGCTCTACTCTACTCTATAGATCAGAACCTTGCTGTGCTACTCTACGTATATGCATGTACCTACAGGGAGTTGTGGGGGGGGGGGGGGTGGGAAGTGACATCTATTCTGTGGAGGGCGTGACAGGCGCGGCCAGGAATCGAAACAGAAACAAGTGGCAATATGTACTCTCCTCCCGGTACGTACCTGCATCAGCTACATACGTGTCGACAATCTACATATCTGGCCACGGCGCGGTAATGTTTCTTGTATAGTAATCATGGCGACAGCTGAGTTATAATTCAGCGGAGAGCTCGAGGTTAAAAACGACCCGGCCGCGCCTCGACAGCGAGTGAGTGGGTGGGATTAGAGTTCTCATGGCGGGATTAGAGTTAACGTTCTCACGGGCTCGGTAGGCTAGGCTAGGTAGGAGACTGGGGATAAAGGAAGGAAGCTGTGGCTGTAAAGCAACCCGAAGCTATAGCTAAGGTTCGCCTTCTTTCCTTCCTTTGTTCCACGTAACAAAGAATTTGCCTCCGCCCGCCTGCCAAAGAAGAAGGAGAAGGTTTTGAAGCTTTAAAACCTAATCCACCCGTCTCTACACGTGCCTCTTCCCTCTCCTCCCTCCCCCCCTCCTCCTTCCCCCTGCTCTCCTCACCGGGACCTCCCCTCGATACCCCTGGCTGGATGGACGCACAAACACATACACACACACACACACACAGACTCAGATACACAAACAAACAAACCTGACGGCGGCCGCCGCAAACAGCCGTAATTACAGTAGTAGATTTGATTTTTCAAATTTTCAAATTTTCTTCTTTTTTTTTTATTGTCTGCGGGAAATTTAATACATACAGCTTATATCGCTATAGACGAGAGATCTCACGTACGTACGTACGGGGGAGGGGGGCTAGACAATGGCTCATCTCGGCGGGGTGAAGTGGTTTTGGGGGTTTTGGAGGTTTGGGGGACTGCGACTTTCCGTCTTCTGACGGACGGAGGCTGTGGGCGGATGGGGGTGTTCCGGGCGGGGGTCTGCTGTGGATGTTTCTTGTCGGGCGTGCCTGTCTGTCTGTCTGTCTCGGCGGCATAGAGATAGAGGAAAAAGGAAGAATAGGAAGAGGAGGAAGAAGAAGAAGGTTTTCAGCCTCTTCAGCCTCTTCCACTTAGGTTCCTCATCTCATCTTATCCTTATCCCTTCTACTTACGTATTCTAGCCCACAATCTCATAATCTCACAATCTACAAAGGAAAAGGAAAAGGAAAAGGGACAAAAGGTAATAAAAGCCCCTCCCGCCCTCCTTCCTTCCTTTACAGCGGTCAGCCCCTCCCGCCCTACTCTACTCTAGCTCAGTGCCAGCGGTCAGTAAAGCAAAAGCAAAAGCAAATCACAGTCGCCGCACGTGCATAGCACCAATTTTATGCATCATCTCCCGCCCAAAACGGAGTGGAGGGAGCGCGTTGACATCATCGGCCGCAGGCAAGATCGTCAGGAACCGTCGTGTCTCGGCAGCAGCCGAGACTTTGGTTACTCAAGGAGCGAACTAAGGGAGACAGCCAGCCACACACGTAGGAAGAGAGAGGGGAGGGAGGGGAGGGGCTTGTCTTAATTTCCCGTGGCGTGCGCGCTTGCTTAGTTAGTTAGAGTAGGAACTAACCGGTGAGAGGAAAACGAGCGAGGTAAAGGGTGGTTTCAGCCCTTAGAGAAGATAGACTCTTGTTCCTGTCTCGCCAGAGCCGCCCGGGTGGTTGTGGCGCGCGATTGGTTGGTGCGACCTTATCTTCAGGTACGGAACCGGAGAAAAAAAAAGTTTGGTTCAGATGGGCAGGGCAGGGCAGGGCACGCGCAATTAAGGTGACTCAGGTTGCACCTTCTCTCTCTCTCTCTCTGTCCAGCAGATAAGGTGGGTGACTGGCTGTAACACAACCACCACTTCATGACGAGAGCAGTAAGTAACCGCACATGAGCAGACCCTACAGAACCCGGGAAATAAACAAACCAGGGGTGGTGCGCTAGGCAGACTTTGGGAGGAGAGACGGGGGACGGGGGAGGAGATGAATTCAGGGACCACAGTACCGCAGTACCGCAGGTGGAAGAAGTAACGGTGGGTTTCAAGAGGCGTAGCTGGTTGGCTAGCTGGAAAGAAAGAAGAAAAAAAAGAGTTTAGATAATACTATTTGCGATGAAGGACCGCCTTCCACAACGACCACTGGCCGTTGCAATTGAATTGGGGGGAGAGAGAGCTCCTGCGCGCGGTGAAGGAATTCAATTCTTGCGGAATCGCCCGTGACTGGCTACATACACAGACGGTGGGTTGTTGTTGATTGTTGTTAAGGCAGATATGATTGTTGCGATAGGTGCGAGGAATGGGGAAAAGGAAATGAGCAACAGTATCGGAAGATTTGAATCGGTGGGACCATGGCGCGCCCCTCCCTCGGCCTCGTGGATAAAGAAAATAACGGCGCGCGATAAAAGATTAGGTAGGGGAAGGCGTTATGGCGTTATTATGGCAGAGCGCAGAACTGACATTGGACCTGTTCTACGTCGAAACGGCACTTTGAGTTGATGAGAAGGACGACGACGATGCGCCCCTCTACACCACTATGGACCCCCCTCCCCACCAAGTAGGACAAGAAGAACAAGTAGGATGAGGATCATGATGGTGGAGGGAACAATGGGATAGGGTCCTGGAAGCAAGCACCAGGGTGGTGGGTGGGTTGACTTCCTCATTCAATTGTAGAGGTCTCGCGAGATTGAGACAGCAGCAGCCAGCACCGTGGGCAATATATTAGAAAACTAGTCTAAGCAGCACCAGCAGGGAATATAATGCATGTACCTAGCACCTAGTAAGTTTCCCATTTCTGGTATCTCTCACTGGCTACCAACTACCACGACCCCCAAATCTTAAACCCCCTTCTGTCACGCTCCCTCCCTCCCCATCCCGGCATTCTGCAAAACCTAGTTGTCCGTTCCTGCATTCCTTCACTTCAACGCACTCACGAAGTGCATACATTAGTGACCCCTCTCCCTTTCCTTCGTCGTCTTCTTCTTCCCCTTCCCTTCCTCCCTTCTTCATCCCCGCCATCCCGTCTTTTCAGCTTTCACGCACCACACTCTCTTTGTTCGGGGTTAGCAAGCTAGCTAGTAGTAGTCGTTCCTTCCTTCCTTTCCGCTGTGCGTTTAAACCTTATCATACTCCTCACATTCTTTTTTTCCCCCTTCCCTCCCTTCCCCTTCCACCCACCCCCCCACCCCTTCTTTAATTTTTTCTCCAATTCATCATCATCATCTCTCTCGCCATCAATTCAACCCATCATGTCGAAGATGTTGTTGAGCCAGTTGACTGTCCTGTCTCTGCTTGCCCTGGAGGCAAGTGCTTTTTGGCGCCTGCCGTGTAGGCAGAGCCTGACGGTGGAGAGAATCGACCCACTTACGCACTTTGGAGCGGTCTCGGAGCATGTCCACACTATCCATGGTGGTAATAGTAAGTTGGCCATCATTTTCATTTTCATATTCTATTTTTGTTCTTTTTTGTTGTTTATATCATCATTATCATCATCATCATTTGCTGCTACTATTGTTACTACTGCATTATCTTTATCCGCTGCTGCTACTACTGTATCCATCATTATCTGTTGTTGTTCGTCTCTTTTTTTTTTTTTTAATCCTTTTTCCTTATCACAATTATCGGACAATCAACCACTACCAATATAGCCTTGAACTGAGCTAACGCTGCGGCCACCACTACAACAGAGTTTTCACAGAGTGCAACTGAGGCCCTGCTGTTGGAGAGTACTTGCACAAGTTGCCAGGTCAAACAAGATCTGTCTGCCTACTGGACACCACAGCTCTACTTTCAGGATGAGGCTGGCATGTTTAACAAGGTCAACCAGACTGGTGGCATGCTTGTGTAAGTTTTTATATCTTTTTTATCTTTTTTTTTGCTGCTGCTTTGACGATATCCTCCTGTTGCAATATTTCCCGCTATTGTGACGATTTCCAATATACTAATAAGCAATCCTATAGATACTACCTCCCCCGTGGAGATGATGTCCAAGCATTCCCCCCGGGTTCAGAATGATTGCGGGTGACCCCAAGCTTCGAAGCTTTCCCTACCCAACCGTCGAGAAGTCCCTCTGGACCGCATCCGACCGCACCGAAGCCGCCCTCCGCCAGAAAGCCGTTGGTTTCAACTGCCTCAACTACGCCGAGCCCGCCAAAGCCGCTCTCGGCCTCCGCAAGATGCCCGATAACATGGCAGCCGACTGCACCGACGGCCTCCGCGCCGAAGTGTTCTTCCCATCGTGCTGGAATGGCGAAGATCACGATTCTGACAACCACCGTGACCACATGCGCTACCCCTCGCTCATGGACGACGGTACCTGCCCTGAAGGCTTCGAGACAAGGCTCGTCAGTCTGTTTTTTGAGACTATCTGGAACGTTGCGGCGTTCAATGGCCAGGCTGGCACGTTTGTGTTTTCGTCGGGTGACCCGTTGGGATACGGGTACCACGGCGACTTTATGAATGCCTGGGACGTGGACATCCTCCAGAAGGCCATCGACAAGTGCACCTCCCTCTCTGGTGTCATTGAAGAGTGCTATGTCTTTGATCTTTACACCGAGGACGAGATGCACCAGTGCACTATCAAGCCCTCGATTAATGAGGATGTCGAAGGCCCGCTTGCGGCGATCCCGGGATGCAATGCAGTTACTTATGGCCCTGAAGACGCACCTGATGGTGGCTGCCCAACTGATGAGGAGAACGACTTGACCGACGACCCGACTAGCCCGCCCCCGACTGGCACTGCAACTGCAACTGCAACTTCTACCAAGTCCACATCCAGCTCCACCGAAAGCTCGTACTCGTCGCCAACTTCGTCTGCGGTCTATGGTGGTGCTCCAGATTTTGATGCTGGTGAGGATGATGGTGAGGGATACTACGGCTCGCACAGCTATGGGTACGGATATGAACCGAGCAAGTCTGTCGATGCGGTTGACTCGAGTGTCACGGCTGAGTCTACGCCTGCGAAGGGTGATAACTACGTCGACCCGAATGTGGAGGTTGTGGTAGTCACGGTCACTACGTATACCACTGCGTCGCCGACTACGGTTACGGTCCATGTGCAGCCCACCAAGGCCGCATACCGCAAGAGGCACTTTCACGGCCGTCACGCTGGGCATGGGTTGTAAAGGCGCATGTTGGTGAGGCATATATAGATCGATATATGTGTGTCTTGAGCTTGGTTCATATTCAGGGTTAGTGGGTGGGTGGGTTTCTGTCAAAAACGGTATATAGTCATATTAGCGACTTTATGAATTTTCTTGTTTCTCTTTCTACTTTTTCTACCTTTTTCTTCTTCTTCTTACTTTACTTCTTCACTACTATTTTCGCTGCTTCTTACTGGGTAACTACTACTACTACTTACTACTTATGGGCGGATCTGGTGTGTGCATGTGATGTGTGCTATCTAACTTCTTTCCACCTTTCTTCTTCTTCTTTTTTATTCCTTTCACAGTAGTATATTTTCCTCTTCTTCTTTTTGTGGCTATATTTACTGTTGTGGTATGCTTTTTTTTCTTCCTTCTTGTCGTGGTGTGAACGTGGAGTTTGGTGCGCGGGGTTGGCAAAAAATCTAAAGAAAAAAACACTTTGCACGGGGACTCTTAAGACCGGCCATGAACATAGAAACAAAGGAACCATAAAAACAAATGGATGAAGTTATTACGAGGCTATTTTCGTGGCCACAGATACATATACTAGCGCTTTTTTTTTTTACGTTCCGAGACTCGGAACTCGCCTGGGCTGTAATCTTAAATGGAGACCCTGAGCTAGGGACGGGGCCAGGGGTGGACGGGGCCAGGGGTGGGGTGCTATGGATGAAACGGGGACGGTGACAGGCTGGGGTTGGGTTGGGTTGGGCGCCAGGGCAGGGTTGTCATCGTGGGTTAGGGGTTTGGCTGGGGTTTTTTTTTTTTGTTTAATTCATTAATTGCATGGTTTGACTGGGTTGATTGGGGGTGGGTGCTTGTTAGGCGCGAAGAGGGCGCGAAGATGGTAGTGGTTGTGGTGGCGAGAGAAGAGGTATTGGATGGTGGGCGGTAGAGGGGATATGAGAGGAGAGGTGGTAGAAGGGGTGGCGAGTGCGCGGCTGTGATGCAATTGCAATGTTATCTAATCCACCCCCCACTACTGGCCACACCGGCCCAACCCAATTGGCCAACCTAGCCGAATCACACTCCAACCCAACCCAACCAACCCGACTACGCCGAGCTGGGCAATGTCGAATCTACCTAGTCTGGTCTGACATGTACAATTGCGGGTATTACTATACTACTAATTGCTACTATAGTACTAACTAGCTAGCTAACTAACGTACTTGGTACCGGCACCGATATTATGTTACCACATGTACCGCGGCCACATAGACGCGGCGGGGAAGTAGTATGCGAAGTAATCTCGGGATCTACGCCGCTGGCTTTCTTGGTATGTATGGAGTAGAGTAGAGTATGGCTTATAATGCATGGTTTTGTACCTAGATAAGTGGGTGGGCATATGCAGGGACTGTCCCGATCCTGGGTACGGTGGTTCTGTGATGGAGGGCAAGTATTGACGTGCGGTCCGGGGGGGGGATCGGCGGGTGCGGGCTGGTGGTTGTGGGTGTATGTAAGGAGGAAAGGGGGGTTGTGATTTGGATAGAGAAGAGTGATGTTGGCCTGGGAAGGCTGGGATCTGGATCTGGATCTGGATTTGGATCATGTTGAGATGAGATGTGCATGTGTAGATGATGTATACAGGTACGCTAGACGGGTGCCGATCAGATACATAGGGGAAGAGAGGAGGGTTCGATGCATGGTGCCTTGGCTCGAAGAGTTAGATTTGAGAAATCAAGATGTGTAGATCTGAGAGATTGATGTGTCTCCCCCGGCTTTTCTGCATGCATGCATGGCTCGTGTTGAATTGCAGTCATGGGATATCACTCTGATATATAAGCTAAGTGGAGCCGGACCAACGAGACCTTACACCACGCTGCGATACAGAGCTCTGTTTGGCGGGTGAAAGTGATGCGTGTCAGCAGGCGCGACTGTAGTTGAGTTCTGGAGGTGGCTCGTTGCCTCACGTGCACGTGTAGGGACATAGTTTCTCACTCGACACTTCCCGCTACAACCGCGGCCGCAACCGCAGTTCACTATTAATTGTGAGCAATACCGCGATTACAAGGACTGATCACGATTACTTGATATTCCCTGGTTGTTTGCACCGACTGCAAAACTCGATTGATTAATAATTTGCAGCCCAGAGACGTACTATGACAAGATATTTACATTGTATAAATTGAAGTGCTTTAGCTGCGCCAATGAAACAGAAACCCAGGCAGGTTGGATAGAAAGCCTAGCAGACTTAACCTAGAGGCAAAGACTTGCCAATAAGCTAGCGGTATATCTAGGTCTTTCTGTGCAAGTGCCCGACTTTCTGTCTAACCAGTGCAGCTGAGACTCGACTCTCTAACACACAGTCTATAGTACCACTTAAGTAGGATCATACATGTAGTATACAGTAGCATCAACGAAAAACAATCAGATATATATGCAAAAAAAACCTGCTACACAAGGTCATCAAAAACCAACACAAACCCAGTTGTGGCCCAACCCCTCCACCATCAACTACACGCTTATATTTAACCCTACCCCAGTCCTGAGGTGAGGTAGCTGTCGCTAACTAGCAGTATATAAAAATTGAATTAGCCGGTTTTCTAATATATAAGGATACACCTCACCTAGCGAGCTGGTACGTACAATCGATGACGTTGTTTACCCGCTCTGGCCCCCGTTGGAATGGTAGTCTGGTAGGTGGAATCGGTGAGGAGTATCAAGGAGGGTGCAGAAAGGGACGTGTCTAGTCGACTTTTTACTATTGTAACGAATGATGGTTTGTGATTGTCTACCTTGGCTTTCTATCTATAGTCGTGAAAACCTTTTCATCAAGTTACTAGGGAACGTTCTAGAAACTGAAATATTTCCAGCCACTCCCAAAAAAGGACAAAGAAAATCTTTCTTGCATGATAAAAATAGAAAAGAATAAAGAAATGATGAATAGAAAACCCGAATTTCCCGAAGGAAAAATCAAATAAAGAAAAATAAATAATCGGAAGGGTAGACTGATGAGTCAACTTTCCCAATGGGAACCCTGTTCTAGCAAGGAGGAGGATCTGTGGAGGGTTTTCAATCGAAGGCGTTTGCAGGTGCAGGGCAAATGGGAGATTTGAAGCCGTCGGCCATTTGGGAGAGTGGTCGTGATGGGGGAATGGTAATGATAGAGATGGTATGATGGTAATGGCAGTTCATACATATGTGGTTTGGGAATAGTAAGGCCGTAGAGATGATATGACGATAGTTGGTGGGAATAGTAATGGTAATGGTAGAATGTAATGGTAATTATAATGATAGTGATAGTAGGAACGTATGTTATTTGGTTTGGCTTGGTTTGTGAAAGCTTAAGTAGATTTTGGAGTTAGTCGATAGCTAAGCGGGACGGGATGAGGGTCTTTATACTAGCTAACCAATTCGTCGACCGTAACCCTGTCTCCCCACCATCCTCTCTCTATACTCGTTCAAATTCCCTACAGTAATGAATGGGGAGCCTATCGTACCCCTCTATCGCACCCCTCTATCTTAAGAGTCAGGCAGCAGCAGCAGAGATTTTAAGCAAACATGACACGGGAAAGGGAGCCGCGAGTTCTCATGTCGGTATCCGTTCCCCAGTGCATTATATTATTACGACGCCTGCAAAGTTGTGAAATACCCACGTCAAAAGGATACCATAGTAGTTATCATCTTGCTGTTCGAACTTTCCGGCTTGCGCATTTCATATCCCTATGGAGAGGAGGTGTCAATTACGCCTTTGATCACGGTAGCATTGCATACGCATTGTTAAACGTTTCATTATGCAGTTTGGACGTTATAATTCGGTAGATCCAGGCTATCTGTCTTTTGTGTTAGAGGTATGTAGTTTGGCCTAAATCGCAACTACAAAGAGAGAGTTTTCGACCTCTCTCCTCTGTTTCTACTCAACAGTCCACACAGTACATTCTCTATAGCTACGTTCTCGGTTCTCTACTTTACTTCACAGAGATCATCTCTAAAAACAAAATTAATTTTTAAAGGCTACATATATACAATCTAACCAACTACGACAACTCGAACCTCAGCGCATCATACTGCACATACAATGCCGTCGGTAATACCGCTGTCTCCGTATCCGACCCATTAAACGGCAAGTTCAACACCAACTTATTACTGCCAACCTTCAGCCACTCGGTCGAAAATGTCAACTTCTTCGCCACCTGGTAGCAGCTGACCGCGCTTCTCACGATGCAGCTACTGCTGTGATAGTACGGGATGACAAACGGTAGCCCCTCACTCTGCCCATTTACATACGTCGTCAGCGGCAGGTTTGCGTATGGCTCAGTAGCAGAATTGATATCCGTGTTTCCCGCAGCCGTCTTGGCACCTGCGAGCTGGATGGTCAGCGTGGCAGTCTTCTTCTTCTTGAGGTCTGCGGCCGTGAGGTCGAAGTTGATGGTCCAGTTGTTCATGTTCTGGTTATAGATGTTGTCACGGTTATGGGTCGGCCCAAAGACGCTCCAATGCACCGTGTTGAAGTCTGTTGCAAGGTCACTCTCCCCGATGGTGAAGTTCACGCCGTTGGGGAAGTCGGTTGGGAAGTCATAGCCACCCCAATAGACCCAGTACTCCCGCGGCTGCCTTGGATGCGTCAGGTCCTTTGCGTTTCCGTGTCTGAACTCTCCGGACGACTTGTCCGGTGTTCCCAACCGCCACACCTCCGTCCCCGCAGACTCCTCCTTCCATGTCGCCGAGGTCTTTGTCGTCTTCCCGGCGGTCACCTTGACATTGTCCTTGATGTAGTCGCCAAACACCCCATCAGCGTAGACTGTGAGCCTGTACGTGCCCTTCTTCACCCTTGGATCTTGACCGCGCCGCTCGCATCAATCTCGCCCCAGTACTGGTACGCCGTGGTGTCCTCGGCGTTGTCCTGGAAGTTGATGCCGGACTTGCTCAGCACAGCGATTGGCCGCTTTGCGCCAGCGGGGAGCTTGAAGGTGCCCTCGAAGACGCCGCGGTCGGCACTGGGCACGTAGCCGGGGACGTAGGAAGCGATGCTGTCGTAGAAGTCGGCGTTCCACGTGGGAGAGGCATATTGTTCGGCGTCGGCGCGGAGAGTTTCGATACTAGCACCGGGGGCGGAGTTGAAGTGGTAGTAGTGGGGGCCGAAGGTGCGGTCGAAGCCGTTGGTGATGTTTGGAGTGCCCTCACCGTGATGGTTGGAGACGATATAGTTATAGACAATGCCGTCTGTGGGGAGCTGTGGTTAGTCTTTGTGCGTGGTATGAGGTATTTCAAGGAGAGTGGAGGAGATATCACTGACCGACTGTGAGATCGGAGTGCAGAGGACCGCCAAAGTAGGTGTCCTTCGAGTTCATCACCAGCCACGCGCCAAAGCTGGTACCGTTCGATGTGCTGCCGTCCGCATACATTCCGTGGGCAATTGTCTGCCTCCAGTCTGCAAGAATTACATTCCCTATCAGCAAACGCTCACTTCACCAATATCACCAACCGCAATTGCAAGCATCCGCGCCAGAGCAGAAAAAGCAAATACATACCGCTCGAAAACGTGTACTTTGTGAAGTACTCCGCAAACTCCTTATAATACGGATCATCCGGGGTATTCTCCAGCGTCCAAGTCGCGTCCTGAACCACCACCTGCTTCGCCACTCCCGCCTTCGACGGCAACGGCGCCGTCTGCTCCTCGTTCGTCGACAGATGCGTCCATAAGCCCAGGTTCGCATTCGGGCGGAACAGCGTCCGCAGCTCCTGCAAGTTCCGCAGGAACGGTGTGGTCTCGTTGAAGTACGACAGGCGCGTGAACGTGTGCAGCCCCGTCTCGCCGTCGCGCAGGAACCAAAACTGCTGGAAGAATTGGCCCGTGGGCGTATAGGTGTCGGAGAGCACGACACCGCCGTAGCGCGTGCCCGTGCTATCAGTACCATTGACGACCTGGATCGACGGCGTCGTGGACCCGACCGTGTAGAAGCCGCTCGGGATGCAGTAGCAGTCCAGGTACAGGATCCCCGTGGACCCGGACTGCGCGCCGAGAAGGTCGCGCCCGTCGAGTGTGAGGTCTATGACGGCGCCGCTGGACTTACCGACGATCGCGGTGAGGCGGTTGTTCTTGAGCGTGACGAGGGAGGAGGTCTCGGTGACAGTGAGGGTAGCTTGGACGGCGCTGAGGGCGCAGAGGGCGCTGAGCAGGGCGCTCTTGAGCATCGAGGGCGCCATTGCAAGTGGTGATTGAGTGATTCCGGCGACAATTGCAATTGCAGAGCTGCTTAGCAGGAGAAGCTCATGAGAGGATCCGCCTTCAAGCTGGCCTTTTTATGAATGGCCATCCATAATAGCCAAAACACGGCATCGGCGGCGCCGATTCGGGCCTCCGGGTTATTGCACTCCGTGTAGTGACCCCGAGTGCCCGGTTTGGGGGTGATTAGTGGGCCCGTACGGTGGTACGGTTCCTGGCAAGTGTCCTAATCTCGGGGTGAAGACTTCCCCATACTTTTCACCCCCGCAGGCTGGGCGTGGAGTATATCCGGGGTGGAAGAATATGGGGTAAAATGGGCCAGGGGGGGATCATCCCGGTTCCATGTTGGTTTGTGGACGAGAAAAGCTTAGGGGAGAACTAGTGCTGTCATTGCGCGGGAAAGATGGCGAGATGGCGAGATGGAGACGGTGAGAGGATGCTCTGGACTCGGGTAACTATGGTATGTACTCTGTGGAGGTGCTGTATACGGGTAGGCCGGCATCATATCAAGACCGGTTCGGGTTGAGTTGGTGATGGTGATGGATGGATGGGTAGGGAATTATATGAGGGGCAGGGCAGGGGTTGGACACAGCCGAGAAGTGCAGTGCGGATGGGATCGAATCCTGCCTGCTGTAGGTACGGTACATATGGGTAGATGTAGCTGCAGAAATGGTTCGGCTGCAAAGAAATAGATTTGATGAGTATTTGATATATGCGCTACGATGTCATTGATCGGAATCTATATGATGCCTACTAATTGGTAGTTATATCGGGGTTAGACCGTTATTTCCAACTACTTTAGTGTCAGGGTTAATTAATCTAACTGACTAATCATTTATTCAAGCACTGATATCAATGATTACTTGACGCGTACTTGACGTTACAACATCATGACATACGTCTATTCCAATTCTTGAAATGGGGTAGTAATCTGGCACTCAGAGGCAGATGAATTACATGGCATAATAAATAGTCTTCAAAGGTCTTTGTTGAAACTAGCGTCTTCGTAGCAGTGGTGCTTCCCTCGAGGTGGGAGACGGGGCGGAGGGCTCGCACTGTATGTTCCCTTCTACTCTTATTGTCTCTTCTCTTCCTTCTTCTTGTCACATAGAGAAGAAAAATCAAGCGTAACCGGTCGTCGAAGCCTCCCTACTCTTTCAACAGCCTTAGCTTATTTTTTCGCGGGAAACCGGTCAATGACGGAACTGGTACCGATTTAAGTGTTTTGAGGCCAGAGGTACGTTTATTCGTCCTTATGGATCGAAGGCCTAGGGGTGCACTGGAGGGTGGTGAGCGAGGGTGTTTACACGCGTGAAAAATACAGGTGGCCCATACTCCTGTTTTGCAGTCTTTTCTATCTGTTATTAGTACTGTGTCAAGACAACGAGTCCGGTTGTCTTGATGATACGTGTTTATTTATCATGTCTTTGTGCACTATATCTGTTCCTTCTGTTCTCATCAAAGTTATACAATTCGATTCTCTTCAGTCTCTTATAAAACTGTGACTTGGATAACACATACATAGGTGATCATGAGGACCAGTCTTCTATCTTAGCATGCTCACTTGTGGCGGGAAAACCGATCAAGAGTCATCGATTCCTCCATCTTTGATCTGGTTGGCGGAGCTACTACATACCTGAGAATTCTGGGAGGCCTTAAATACGTTTGTTTATCCTTATGATCGAGGCCTGGGCCTATGGGTGTTTGATTCCTGGTGCTGGAGGAAGTGAGTGAACGTGTTTATACGCGTGCAAATGCAGGTAACCTATGCCAGCTAAATCTTTCACCGTTTGGATATGGCAGAGGCTCTGTAATAACAGTGAATACATACTCGGGGCAGCAGGTAAAAAGAAGCTGAAAATGACTTTTGATAGTAACGACGTACCTCTGATTCGCGGCTGGAGAAAAGCTACGGCTTGAATTTTCGGGTTATAATTGCCTGCTCCGAGTAGATGGCACTGTCTATCGCGATAATGTGCTGGTGTTGTAATTGTAGTAGCGTTACTTGGGTGCACTACAGACGGGTTTTCCAACGTCTTAGCACCACTTTCTGTTCCATTGTCAGCAGCTTGGCAGTGCCCAGAATCGTGGAAAACAACGCCATAGGGCTTTCACTCCCAGACTCAGCGCGGATATTTGCTTTAAATCTCAACCACTTTACTTGTGGCTGCTATGCGGCTCCGGATCTCTTCAACCTACTCTTCAAGCTCGCAACCTGTCCAGATAGGGAATGGTCAGGGTTGGCGTTAGGAATGTTTTACAGAAGACTGAGCTGTCTAGCTTTCGACTCACCTCTTCAGAACAAAGCTACCCCCCTCGGACCCCGACACCAAGCCCCGAGCAAGTTCGGATATCAAGAAACCCGTAATCCGGGCGCAGACCGTCCCTTATCTTGTTAGGAAGGAGTATTCCGGGACCATTCATATATACCAGGGCGTACTAGGTCGTGATGAAACATTTACTCGATGGAGCCATACTCTTTGGAGGATTTGTACGCATTTTCCTTGAGAAATAGTAGTGCTATGTGCATGTGAGCTTGTAACAATAAGATTACATCGGCTGTTACAGGCGGTTAAGATTCCGGGTGATATTTCATGATCGACCGCGTCTCTTTCATTTTTACTTTTTCCATACATGCTCCTAACACGTGCACGGCGAAGACCGAATATTAATCTCGCAGATGGATTCGGGGCTGGAAGAGGTTGCCGCGAGCAGAATACTTGCGCACGCACTGAAGTCCATGTATTTCCCCCCTCCCTCACTCTGACCTTCTTTCGACGTTATGATATTATGATCTTCTCTGCAGTCAGATTCGCCAATTGTCACGGGTAGTCATATTTCCTGCCACGCTTCATTCACCATCTCACTCAACAGAAAAAAAGGAAAAAAAAGGACGATAGTGATTACGACCGCACCTCCCAGTTTCGCCATAAGACAGCAACAATTGAGTGATATACGCAGTTCCGGCGGTCAGAGCAGTTTACATATGTCTTACTGTGGCTTATCCCTTAGTCTGGCAATGCTGACCCCCCTATAATAGAGGAATTAAATTTGTATGGGAGATCTATTATTTGATAAGAGAGACAACAGGATCTGTTAGTAAAGCCACACAAAAGTTTGCTTTTTTGGGGGGGGTCAGCATTTTTTGCCAGACGAAGGGATAAGCGAAGTTCTCTATGGTTGTTGTTGTCCATGATATGGCGTGGCGTGGCGGTTGGGCCTTGCAGGAACATTATGGGGAGATGTTATTGCATGCTTGGCTATATAGGACTTCCTTTAAGGTGCTAATCACTATCACAATACGAGATGGACGTAGGTCTACCGGGATTGCTAGCTGATTAAACTAAATCGCCATCTTTGCAGGAGAGCGATGCGTCTGATCAGATATTCTTGCTCAGATAGTAAGGTATCGAGCACGGGGGCTCACACTCTACTGTATGATGTGGTGGTTCCGGGTTTATGTTTCGTATATACTTTGAGTACGGGACCTCACCTACCCGCTGAAAGTCTCAAAGGGGTTCGAATGCCGCGCCGGAGGGCTGGGTCTTTTATTCGTAGCTTCCAGAACATTTGAATTTCAAGTATTTGTGCGGGGCTTGATATCAAAGCCGTAGATCTCTCCGTCCCTGGACTCTGATAGGGCCGTAAAAGTAGACATCTTACGTATGTACAAGGGGGGAGAAACTTGGAAACGAGATACATTCATGATATTAGACAGTTTGTGAGCTATTACCCGCAAATATTTGTATTTCCAAAACCCTCTCTCCCTCCCCTTCGCCCCCCCCCCCCCCTTCTCCAGGTAATGTAATCCAAATAAGCCACCTTCACACCCTCAGCAACAGCAACTCGCCTTGCCGTTCCCCATGGTTCCCCGCAGCCGCCGCTGCAGACTGAAAAGGCGAGATGCCCAATGTTCTGCATATGGCGTTTCTCCACCGCCCCCTTCATGAGATCGGCTCTTCTCGCTCCCTCTCCATCGAGCACCTTATCTGATCTAGAGTAGCAGTAATAGTTGCATAGCTGATCTCAAACACGGGCAAAGCGCACATGAAGCCGGTGGCGATGATTGAGCAGCGCAGCACCGTCGTGAGGATTTACCATTTACGTAAATACAAATATATGTATACGCTTTTTTCCTACATATCTTCTGCAGCTCGCGCCCCCCCCCCCCCCCTGTACCTGGTTCATGCATGCATAATTTATCTCCGATCTGAGAAGGTGGTTGAGCGAATGAGAGGAGCGATGCAGGTAAAACCGGGGGTACCGAGCGTTGGAGAATTATCCTACTCTACCCTATATCTAGTTGTAAGACAGGCATCTAGCTGTTGACCTGGTACGTATACCCTCGATGCATATGGATAGGTATGGGCTCTTCAGGGAATGTGGCGCCTGGAAGTTTACTTTCGTTGGTTCGGTTGGTTTATGTCGGAATTATCATGACGCAAAGTTGAGACCAATTGGCAGCAGTGGTGGCTATGTGGACGGAAGAGAAGGAGTATCTGAATCCGTGAGGTTGAGGTGAGGTGAGAAGCAAGAGGGTGAAGATAATTTTAGGGTTAGGCGAATTAATGGAGATGTTTGGGGCAACGGTAGGAACCCCAGGTTTCATTCCTTCATTGTATATAGATTGAGGTACGGTGTTCAGCCCTTGCACACCATAAAAGACCTAGTACCTACGTGTATGTACTCTAGCTGCAATAGCTCTCGTTAAGCATATACACATGTAAGTATAGGCTTATATCACAAGCCATTCATATGGAGGCTAGACAGATGCCCAGAAAGAGACTAATGAATAACCTTTTTATTATTCTAGCCATGAATTAAGCAGGCACTTTGCGAAGATGATAGTAGTAGCGATGTTATGTAGGTGCACTGGTTGATTGGATCATTTCCCGACATGCATCCCTGGGTCGTAGTCGTAGGCGTCGACACGCCATTCCCGTTTGGACCCTGACATGAACTAGGGGCAGTAGGACGCAATATCCATCTATTAGAGGAGGAGGAGGAGCTCCAGATCAGTCACGGGCTGCACTAGTGGTTGGTTATGAGACTGCTCATTCCTCTGGCTGGGGTGTTTCTGTACGTGAGGAGGAAAAAAAACCTTTTAGTTGGGGCTGGGCGGGTGTGGATCATACCTTTTGTAATGTTTGACCTGGTTTTGGTATTGGGATTGGTTCCATATGAGAGCGTGCTATTGACTCTACCAGTCAACATCGGCAGTTAGATGTATGTGGCTTACTGCATATGAATATTAGAGACGTGTTTTAGAACCACGGACCGCAGCCATTATGATAGGTATGTGAGTTACAATTATTCAACAGCCAAGCCACCACACCCCCCTCAAAGAATCTCTGCGCAGCGCATATCTTGGACCAGCTAGGAATTTGAGAAAGAGACGTCTCCACTCGACTTGCATGAGATGGTCATTAGCCGCGGTTAAAACCGTACTAGTAAGACTTGGAAGTAGAGTACTTGGGATTCGATTCTGTGCCATATACACAAACGTCGTACTCGCACGAGTAGCAAATAACGCTGCAAGACAGTACCAAAACGCTTATTCCAGTTGCCATTACGTTACTGAAACACGATTTAGGGTGGTACGGGTCTAGGCGTATGTTGTACTCTACGGAGAGTTTTGATAAGACTTATCAGTAGAGCAGAGCAGCTAGCTAGCTACATACATGATGGACAGGTGAGCGGTGGAGGGAAAAGCGCCTGTATTGGTTCAATTCAACACAAGTATTGAAGAGGACCGGGCTTTAGTGGTGGTGTGGTGTGGTGGTGGAGGAAGAAAGAGAGGTATTTGGCCGGTAGGCGGGCGTGTGCGTATGTGTAAGGAAAGCCAAGACTGGGTCGAAATGATTCGGGATGTTTGAAATTCGATCGACTCCTAGTCGCAGACACCCATCGAGGCTGGCTTCCGCTGTAAAAAAAAAATACAAGCCCTATTGCTTGTTTCTACAGCTAGCTAGCTAGCCGGCGGAGTCAAAGCCCTAAGATGACTTTCGGTTATTTCGCTGTCCTAGGCTATCGGCTTCCGCTATTCAGCCCGTGTACTTAGAAGGCATTTTATCATGCCCTAATTCTAGATCGTCAGATTTCTGAATGGGAGCAGCCGAAGATGATCATGTTCTAATTCTGCCCTGGAGAGTTTCAATTATGATACTGCATGTCTTGCAGTGCCATATCATTTCAGTGATGACGCGCAATGTAGCAGTAAATAGTTTAGGGTTTCATTCCTTTGCTTTATTTTTCTGACAGGCGGAGAGTTATATGACTTGGGGTCTGGGGGTTATCAAAGACCAAAACTCGACTCAATATATATAACAAATTGCGAGGAATGGCTTGCTCGAGAACTTACATATATACTTTGTATAGGGCTAAAGAAAGTAGGTCGAGGTGAAATTCGTGATTTATGGAGCTGTCTATATGTCAGGATACCGTCCCCCATTACTGAGATGTTTCGTAAATAGCACTTGGAGATAGCACCTATCACATTAGATTTATGACTGTGCCTGGATATGTTCGGACGGCTATGTGGTTAATTGCACATCATGTACGGTATTAACTACCTATCCTGTACCCAGTGATCTCACACGAGCTTGCCAAACGCCCCTGAGCGGGGATAATATGTAGCGCAGTAGCACAGACAAGAAATGATCAAGTAGCCTATCCAGAATCCAGAAATCTACAAAAGGGACCTATAATGCCCTCTTGATATACCTCTGACTCGGGCATCCCATCGAAGTTTCCGCGATGTATGTAGGAACTCCATGTCCCAGTTAGTCTCTTTTTCTGGACGTCGAAGCTTCTTCCGCTTCTTCTCTCGTTTTCATCACCGGGCGCCAACCCGGACCAGCCAATTCATTTCCCCCAATCTCAAACCGATTGCGGGGAAAAGAGGAGTAGCTAAAGAAGCAAAGAAAGGAAGAAGAAAAAAAAGGAAGTAGGATTGGGATAGGTCTGAGCGAGGCAAGATATCAGATCCCTCTCATCAAATATTCCCCCGGACAATCGGAGTTCCCTCCCCCTATAAAAAATCCAAGACATGAGAAAAAACCAACACGACCAGGTTACCTTTGTATCACCATGGGCGGCCAGCGATTCGGCTCCATAGCCCCTAAAGCTCAACGGCCGGCACGGCATCTAGTTTGGCTACGATCTGGGCGACGGAAAAAACAATAAGCGGTTTTCTAGCTAGTACTGGCTTGTCTGTAAAGCAGGATTTGCATGGTAGGCACTCTTTTTTATCTTTCGCTTTCGTCAACACAACTGAGATGGCTCGGTAAGTTTCGAAAACATCTCGAACCAGTGTGAGATACGTCGGCGTCCACGGACTAGGTTCAAGGGTAGTGTTAAATCCCAGGCATACTCGAGGGGGCGGGGACGAATTACGTGCAGTGCACACTTGGAATCGGTAATAACGATCTCTATTAGTACTTCATCCCTCCACACGGGGACCACACCTGCTCTATGGCTGGCTGGGAATTCTTTTGCTTGCTTGCACTTACCGGGATGATGGAAATGCACTTTGCATGTGCAGCATGATGATCGGATCAGCACGTGGATCCGGCCTCAGACCCCTGAGAATAGCAATTCAAGAAAGAAGAAATTCACCACCAATCTTTCCCCAGGTCCGAATGGCGACTCGGCACGCGAGCAAACACGAGTTTTCCCCCTTATAGCGCCATCGTCGACACGCTGAGGCGATTGGTGTGTGAGGAGTTTAGGGTTCCATATCGTCGTGATATGATGCTGGTTGTGCGGGCCGGAAGTTAATGTCACTTGTGGATGTTTTGGTGCAGATCATACAGTATATCCCTAAGGTTTCGTGAAGTTATCAAAGTGCAGGAGAGAGAGATATCTCACCACACTCCAAAGAAAAAAATAGTTATACGTTATAGGTACATAGCTTTTGTTTGCAAGATGTACTTCCAAGCCACCATGTAACAGTTACATACGCAGCCCAGCATCCAGATACCCGGAAGCAGGCTTCAGAAATCAAGCATTTTCTGTTCAACCAGACCCATTTCTTACACTGGACGCCGTTAATTTGTTAGGCAGGTGACAGATTGTCATGTCTCTCAAAATAGGGTAACTAGTTTGATTTACCCGTGGGTTAATCGGAGCCAGCTTTGTGTGCTTGCTGGAACAAATCTAACACCTGTCTGTCTTCATCCCAGAAAACTAGTTTAGGATCTGGTTCAGGTATGTAGGTATTTGGCCCATCTCAGTTCCTACTCGTGTATTTTGGGTGAAGGTACGGGCACTAGGGAACCGACGTCGATCTCTCGGGTTACTGGTATGATACCTAGCTATTGAATAAAGTACCTGCGTCCCTTTTCAGGGCCATATGCGATACATGCCATACAATTAAGGGTATCAAAACTCCCCCCCGACCCCGCAAAATGGCCGTAATGGGTACCTATCACCGGCAAGTAGCTTTCAGGGTTCATCTTTGGAGAGATGGATGATTAAAAAGCAAATACTATGGCTTAACCTTAGGCCCGCAGGGAGCCAAGCATTGTACATGCCATAAACACATACGTAGGACCTGCTAGTAAAACAATAATGTCCCACATCACCTGGAGTACCGACCTTGGGCGCCCGCCTGGCTGCACAAGATGTCTTGTTACTCTAGTCCTGTAAAAGACTCACAAAGATAGTTAACAAGGTCCACCGCTGTCGGTGCACATGTGAAACGGCCCGATTCCCTGGTCGGAACTCTCACCTCACAGGCAGTAGTACTCTATGAGAGTAGGCTCCCCATAGCTTGTCTTGTCCTCCTGTCCGTTCAATTCGGTTACCAATACTGAACAGGTAGCGCTCTGTAGATCCCTCTCCAATTCTGCTCTCTATATCTATCTTCCCATGGCCCCGCCTCTATCTCCACCTAAATACTCCCCTTCCCCCATGTCAGATCCGAACTAGCACATCACCACTAATACCACTGAAAAAATGATTACACTCATTCCTGATCGCTATGTTCTTCAGGAGGTTACCAGGACTGACATGAATATAGCGTCGATATGCTGGGGCTTCACATTAGGTTTTGGATTCTTGACGACCTGGGAAGCGATACGGCAGACCAATAGGGCACGAGACCCCCTTAGATCGACATATATATGGATGATTTGGATGGAGATTATTGTTTGTTTGATATTTTCGATTATTTGCTGGATCCACCTAGATGCGAGTATTCCTCCAAGGTTCGTTACTTATTTTTTCTTTCTGTTCCTCGCTTGAAGAAGAATCTTTTTCCGTGTCCTTCTTTTTCGCTTTTGCTTTCGCCCAATCATTTGCTAACAGGCTACTGCAGCTTTGCCTTCTACTTCTGCATATGTGAGTTGTACTCGTTGTCTACTGCAGATTTCTCAACGAGATCAGCCAACCAATCGCAATACTAACCAACCAATCCCAACCACAGTGACATTGTGGGCACTCCAAGTCCAATTCCTCCTCCAAATCATCATCAATCGTATTATTGTCATTCTTGCCGACCATGAAAGAGCATTTTACATGAAATGGGGAGTCGCCGCACTGATCACCGCCGTCAACATCTCAGTATACTGCATCTGGGTCCCGGCTCGTTTGCAGATATCGGACAGGTAAGGACTCATTCGAAACTCATAATAGCGTTGAGTTTTTCGGGAGACTAATCGGCGATTAGATTTGTTCATATCAACGAGGTATGGGATCGATGTGAGAAGGTGATATATCTTGTGGTAGATGCCATCTTGAATTGGTATTTTGTGAGGGTCGTCAGGCAGAGATTGGTGAAGCAAGGAAGCGCGAAATATAATCGGTTGGTGGTGTTTAATATCAGGATTATCTTTTTGTCGTTGTTGATGGACGTAAGTTTGAATAATGCTGTGTTTGGGGGGCGGACTGGTTACCCCGGACGTTAGGACTTGACTGACACGCGGCCTCGTAATAGTGTTTGATCATTGGGACTATGAGTCTTAAAAACAGTTTTGTGTTTGTCTCCCTAGCCCTCCTCCATTGAAATAAGAATATTGGTTGTTTCTTAAGATCTTACTAACAGTAATCTAGTTATATGCAATTTCACCCCCTCGCCTACACTGTTAAGCTCATGATTGAGATGTCCATGGCCAACTTAATCCGCAAGATAGCCAGCGAGAAGAACGACATGCGCATTGGCACATACGAACTCAGTCATAGTACCAACCGCAACCACATCTCTGGTGGAGGTCCGCCAGCTGGCGCTATGATGTCGAACGGCGGGGTAGTAGTGCATAAGGAGGTGATAGTGGAAAGCCGAGCGGTGGAGGATATGGACCAAAGTAGTGAGATCTCGGGGAAGGATCAGCAGGATGATGATTCACCTCTACGGAACGAGAGTTGGACTAGAGTTGCTTATAACACTGATATTTCGACAAATGGCCACAATGGTCCGATTGGGCATGAAGCCTGTTAGAAATATCGTCCATCCCTATCAGGGTTTTTTGCTTTGTTTCTGGTGTTTTTGTTTCATGAGGTTATTTCATACTAAAATTTTAATAGAGCAACAGCCTTGCGTTTGCTTGCACTGTGTCCTGGTGGATATCATACATATATTTAGACGAAAATATGACTTTCTTTTGTATATATTAATTATTATGAGCACCCCGTCCTGGGTTGAGGACTATTTCCAGAAGCTTGATTTTAAGCGACCATTCTGCAACGCATAGGCCTGTAATAGGAATCCAGAGTATTGTACCTTAACTGCTTTATTTATGCTGTCTGAATTAATGATGTGAAATTGGCCCACTAGGACGTGCCTAAACCCTTGTCGTAAAGGGGTTGGCTAGCTTGGAAAGGCTCTAGTAAATAATTGTTGCAGAGCTAGTACAAAAAGCCATAGACTCCGGGTCCCTTGGCTTTTGAAACTGTACTAATTCTTGCTGTACCTCACTCGAAGATGATCTCGAGAGTACGTGCTTGACTCAGATGAGAAAATACTCATCTACTGGCGACCAGACTAGATTACGATGACGTAAGAAGGTAGCTCTTAATAGTACTCGTCCGTACGCGACCAGCCTCAACATTCTCATTGCGATAGGGGTTGAAGAACGAGTGATACCACATGAGTCCTGCGGAACAACCCTGCCTATCAGCTCTATCTCGTATTACAAGATTCAATGTGCGATATGCAAGGTCCAGTCCGATACTCCCCGACAAGGTATGTACATGGATTGTTTATTCATCACCTTTATGGAACCCCACCCGTAAGGGTTTTTCTTTCTGTGCAGTAAGTGTCTAAAAGATGCGCGCCTAGGCGACTACAAACATATCTAGCCGAGAATTGTATCATGAAGGAAAGACTTCTACTAGCTGATAAATAAGCAAGTGGCCAGCTCCAGAAGAGGCTCTCGTCACGTGTGCAGGGCAAAAGCCTAAATGCACCTTTCGGATGTTTGGAAGCCGGAAAAACATCCCGGGGGGAAGGGGGTGGTATTAACTGGGCATTTGTTGGGGAATCACTGAATACGTGATAGTAGACATATTCTCGCCTATGGTTCTTGAAGTGTTCTGACCCACGGGATGGTCTAGCTGATGTCATCTCAAACTAGATTCCAAAATTCAAGTATTTGGAATACTATATTCATGATAAAGGATCCTCTAGTGGGATCTTTCGGCAGTACATGGCTACTTTGTACCATGAAAACAAGATCTCATGCGTGATTTGCTGCAAGGGTAAGGAGCTTCGAGGTGGAAGTAGTAAGCATAATCCAATAAATGGTATTCCCTTGTTACCGTCTGGATTCCCGAAAGAAAGTTTGTATTGCATGCAACCATCTAGTTAATCCGCCCTATGGGTGGAGAAATGCAGTGTCCCTGTACCTGCATGGAGCTCGCCTCCCACTACTGATTTAGTATAATATGCGCAGGCTGGCTATGGTGCTTAATTTATGAAACCTGTGGCCGGCGTTCAGTCCCCTTGGCACAATCTTGTTCTGCACGCGGAAATGCGGAGGACGGAGGTACTATGTTGAAGGTATTGTATCCACAGTAACGGCGACTTGGTAACTATGAATTGTAGAGGCTGAGTCAATTATGAAGGATCGACAGATTTGAGAGATCCCTAACTACTATCGCGGCGTAATTACGGGTAAATTCTTACGAAAGCCCACTCGGCCAATTCGTTTTATAATTTAGCTGAAGTAACTTTCCTGTCTCCGGGCTAGTAGTTGGGCGGGCTTCGAATCGTCATTATAACTTATAGGGCGGGAGAGGGGAGAGAGGACATACATAATATCTACTCTGTGTGTATATATATCTAGCTGTTGACCAGTGCTTCCTAAACATCGGCTACGTATAAGGAAGGGAGCGAATGATCCTGGTAAATCAGTCGCTGTCATGTTAAAGTATCTGAGATTCTCCCCCTCCCTTATTTTATAAATTGGAGCCGTGACATGATCATGAGTTACTCACCCTATTAAACAGATGACGATCAGTATAGTACATCCACATAGAAGCACAACAATCATTTCTAGATGAACATTTCCCTATCGTCTTTGTTGAGCTATGGAAAGAGGTCCAGGGTTGTGTCTTCGCATATTTGAATAATCCCTCCGACCTCCGACTCGTTGTGAGATGATTCTGATCGAGGGAGTATGCTTTGAGAAGACGTTATATCTAAAGAGCGAGGGGCTTGAGTAGATTAGAGGTCGGTGATGAATGAGTAAATGTGGTTGACAAGGCTTGAAGGTGAACTGGGTTTTATGAGGTTCTGAAGAGTTTATTTCCTTTGATAGGCTTACGCTATAATGGAGCTAGGGCTTTTGATGGCCCAGAGATACGTGTACTCCCCTAGTCCCACCAAAGTAAGCTCATCACCATCGAGCCTCCTTCCAGATTCATTCATAGGATTTTACTTCAAAGTAGCCACAGATTTCAAATGAAAGAACTCTTAATTTCAAAGGGAGTACAAACGAAACTAGATACGTCCATACCTACTCCGCATCCGTTTCATGAGTGCCATTGAGGATCGAATGGGATAGAGGGATTGGCGTTAGCTGGTTGTAGACGCTTTATGTCTGATAATCTGATTGAGGCTGACTAGATGTACTTAGATATACCCTATTGGACGCCTTCTTGTAAGTGACAGAATACGTTCTATTGCCTCGTGTGAATATAGCTGATATGTAGTCCGTTCACACTTAGTGTAATTATAATTAGTTCACGCAGCAGGTGCTCACCGATCGTCGGGCATTAAGTTCTGTTTAAGCTTAATACAGGTATTAACGCTGTCATTCTTTCCCTTCGCTCAGATACATAAGTACTTATGTAAATACATGCACCCTCTCATCACTGAATTGATGATTGATGATTGATGACTCACCAGTTGTTCGCAGCCCGGAGACTACAGGTATATGTATGTCAAGTTCTCTTATCATTTAATTGATAGGCCATAGATTTATAAGAAGCGGAAAATATGCATTAATTCTTTTGTTGTAGAAGAAGCCTTACATTATAGAACAAATATTTGAAATTTCACTGATCTAGATACAGTGCCCCCCCCCCCCCCCCCGGGGGCCCGGGGGGGGGGGTGGGTGGTGGGTGGTGTAATTCTTGCCATGAGTGATGCGCCGCGCACTGTCTGGCCGGAAGTACCGAATTACATGTAACCCCGGTACACCCGCACCGTAATCAGGCAACATGCTGGTGGGTTCAGATTCTGCTGGAATTTCACCAATATTTCCTGACTTGGCCTAGAAAGGGTAAGTATATTGGATTCCATAAGCTCGGTAACTTTTGGGGTCTAGCTATGGTAAATAACGTAGGCTTCTTGTCCATACTCGCTTGACAGGTACGTGGTGTTATGAAATTTCAAATACTCAGGCAATGCACTGTGATAAAATGTCAAGTCTTGCAATTTGAGTAAGTTTTCAAAGTCACTCGGCCCACACACTCTCCTACCCCTATAATGGATCATAAATAATGTACTCACCATGGGAGTACCACTGATTAAGCAGCCCACGATGAAAAAAGCGATTCAATTGATAAAATGAATCATTAAGACTTGCTCACTAAGATGTTTGAATAATCGGGAGTCTCACGATTGATTGATTGACAACCCACTCGTGTATGCAACCCAAAGGCTATGACACTCGCTAGTCTCCGCCCCAGCATAAATCAATACAAACTTTTTTCTCCCTGGAACGCTCTTCACGCACTGCTATCTCGACAAAAAGGAAAATAAACAAAATAAAATAAAACAATCGGGAGTCTCACAAAGAAAATTCATGATTTACTAATTACCTCGCAAGGTCACCCCAATGAATGTCTTGCGGTTATTTCTGAGCTTCTATATATATAGAGACCAAGCTAATGGGGATATTACATTGCCCTCTCGGGGCCGATCCTTCCCGAGTTTCATATAGTCTTTTTAGTACTTTCTTCTACGATCGAGTGATATCTCATGAACGAATATACCTAAACATCTACTCTACCCCTCCCTACGTAGGCGCACGTGGTTCTTTCGCAACCACCATGATTTTTACTGTTATTGTGTTATTAAAGTCATCTGGATATTACAACTAAATTTTTAAATTTGACGTTCTCTAGTAGCCGTGGAAATACATAAATTTTGACGTTTCCCATACAAAAAGTTGCGAGATACACATTATTTGATGCAATAACCGCATTACTTTGTGTTAAAGGCATTCCTGTCCCATTACCGACACTTTACCGACACCTTTACTGATGTATTCACCTGTTAAAGGCAATAAGATACGACTTTACTGACGACATTCCCCGTTAACGGCATATTAAAGGCATGTTAAAGGCATGTTAAAGGCAATAAAATACGACTTTACTGACCGTTTCCGGCGTTTCACGTTTTCCGCCGGAAAATCAATGAAGCGCCCCCTCTAGATCTCGAGATAGTTGGGTACTCAAACAAAATATTTCGGTGAGGTCATCAAATGGTATCTGGCATCAATGGGCTTGTAACAGTTGGGGAATACAATTTCATTTTGGTGGATCCATTATTTGGCATATACATGTAGGCATTTCTTGCTTGATGCTCCTGGTATAATAGTAGGATGCTCTGTGATGATTCGATTCATTGGCGATGGCCTTGATTAATCATGTGAAGCATCACCGGTGGCCAAACTTATCACCCCATGTGTATACGCTCAAAATATGACAGAAGCGTGACAGGTAAAGGCATCAGTAAAATCGTCTGTAAAGTCGTCTGTAAAGTCGTCTACAAAGTCGTCTGATTTCCCTTAAAACGACTTTCCCTCTACCAAAATATTGACATTACCCACGTAAATCTAAGCTCGAAAAACGGCTTTACCGACGACTTTACTGTATATTATTTAATATTTTCAGGTACACATTTCCACGGCTCTTAGAGGTTGCGTTTTTCCACAACCACGAGGAGAGAGTACAAAAGATTTGATTTTTGTGATTTCTTATTCCTCTATTATCTTAAGCTTCAATATGAGCTCAATTGAAGTGGTTTCAAAATTTAGTTGTTCTAGCCAATTTGTGTACGAGCGTCCGGATAATTTTAATAACCAACAATCCTAAACATATTTTTTCCTTATTTTTAATTAAGGCCTAACTACATTTGTATTATGTGACATGTCAAAACAATGGTGAGTTTTTTTGAGTTGTAGGCTTGGAACAGTGTGGAGCTGAGCTTTTGGAGTTTTCCTTTAATTTGAAATACTTTGATGCTGTCTGCTAAATAAAAGTGAAGTATGTGCTTGATGAGACAAAATTAAAGCCGTGCCACGTAAGAAATCCCTTATTAAACGAAAGTATTACTATGCATCCCTATCATGCCTTATATGCGAAGAACCCTCATATCATCCTGCCCCTTCCCCAGTTTCCTCCTACTCATGTTTTCAGCTATCATACACATTTCATCCATTCCCATGACCAATATTCATACAAACCGGTCCGATTCCCTCCCCACTTGAATAATCTCCTTAAATCGATCCACGAAAGATCCTGCCACTGACAACTCCAAAGATCATTGCAATAGCGACAATAGCCCACGAGAAAATGACAACCAAATCCAGCACCTCCGCACCCACAGCCAGAATCTTAGGGTATCCCAGAAGTCTTGCAAGATGTGTACTTGCCAGCGCGAACCCGACTACAACACTTATCAGCACCCTGCCGTAATAACTAAGACCACATCGGGATAGGAACTCACCATTCGGGAAGATTAGTGCAAACATCTGTAACTGCTGAACGCCAATATCCATCTCTCCCAAAGCCACGATATTGCCCAACACGGAGACACAAAAGAACCAAGCAGCCAGTCCCCAGAACATCAATGCCATCACCATACCGATATAGTACAGTGCTACGCCGCCAACAACTTCAAAGGTTCCACCCGGGGCAGAAGGGTCTGCTGGGAAGTGCCTGAGTGATTGCTCGGCCATGAGGGCGAAAGATAATGCTGTGAAGGCGGGAGGTCCGACAGAGACGAACATTGACGGGCGTCTTGCGATGGATGGGAGGGCATTGCGGTAGAGGCTATCGACAAATCCAGCGAGATACTAGAGACACGATTAGCTCATTAATGAATAGCATAGACCCGAGAAACGTACGACAAGGCCAAGGAGTGCGCCCATTCCCTGAACCGCGGTTGCAGTGTAGAGGATTGGCATCGCGAGATGGTGCCCCTTGATAGGATCGATGTGAGACACGACTGTTGAGGCCGCATATCCGACAAGAGTAAGGGGGAGAATCTGTTGAATTGCCATTGGGGAGTAATCCTGAAGATGCCATGTTAGTGAAATATCGTTGATTTGCAGGAAGAATTGGAGCATACTGCTGCAGGAGTCGCGTCGACGCCATCAACCCGAACTACAGCTGCAGCTGCCCTCGTTCGCGAAAACCTGTTTGTTCCATCAATGACCGTGGTAACGAGTGATATCGGGTGAGTAAAATGCTCACTGCAATAAGGGGGTGGCAACGCCAAATAACACAGCGACCCCAACAAAAATCCAGTAAAACGCCCTCAACGCCATTCCATGCGTGGTATGCATTTTCTCGCTGTAGGTAGCCCCATCGATGATCAGAATTCCCAAGGCTGCGGCAAACGTTGAAACAAACAGGCCTTCCGAGTGATGCGTTATGCTTGCTGGTAGAACACGGGGATTTAGTGCGAATCGGGTTAGGTGGATTAGTAGTAATAGTAGGAACCCAATCAGGGATGCCATATAAACGATGCCACCTATTTTGTTAAGATTAGTAGTGCTTTCATAACCCAAATGAGGGTAGCATTATTGATCTCGTACCAACAATCCAAAGCGGTTTGACCGCATAGGGTAGATTGAAAATTATTAACGCCACACCACCAGAGGACATGATTGTTGTGTACCATCTATCAACATCGTGATCAGCAAATTGTGAATCTCTTTCGAATGCCATACTCACGCCCATGTCATTTTGTTCTCCAAAATATCTCTCCACCCATGTGGCCCTTCATCCCGCCCGCGATTGTTACTCGGTAAAAGAGGCGAGTCCTCCCTCTGGTTTCCATTGATGTGGCGTGGTAGAGACATGATGGCGTTCGTAGAAAATATGAATTATTAGGATTTTCTAGAAAGTGCTAAAGGTAGGAGGAATCCGAATCTAAGAGAGAACTCGAACTTGTCCACGGATACTTTGGAGTTTTATTCCTCCATCCTCTCGAGCTGGGTGGTGGGTGACGACACACAATTCCTCGCCCGAGGGCCTCCGTCTTGATTTCGTCATGGTGATATCTACGTTTTTGGATGGCCGGTTGGGCGGGGGTTTTGGTTTCCGCGGGTAGCCGGCTTAGCTGGTTAGGATGCCGGTGTTGGGTCGAATAATGGTATTGTGGGTGTACAATTGGCTGTTTGAGGAAAAGCGACGAGTAATCATTGGTTTATTACATAATATTAAGGTAATAATTCGTCAAGTTTGGGCTCGTAGGATTCGCGCTGGAGTGCTTGGCCCAGGATGCCGATAACACGGCTACGTGTATATCTAATCATAGATAAGAAAGCCTTCACACCTTGTTATCCCGGCCGTGCCAAGGACAGCATGCACACGGAACAACCAGACGCGATTGCAAACCAAAATCACCAAGTACCATATTGGCATCACCTTCAACTACGAGCTGTGAAGTGGTGACCCAACTGAGGTCACGGCTAGCAGATTAACCATAATATTTGACACCTGCGGGGAAGTTGTGGCGTTAACGCCCGAAACAGGGGGACGCGTCTAGCGCTTCAAACTTCTAAAGATATCTCTTTCTTTTCCTTCGCAACAACAACGTTACTGTAACGGTTATCGCAATCTCAATCCCATGTACGATGTTGGTACATACGCGCGAGCGATAGGAGTTCGAATCACGACGGCCCTTAATCTAATGCATAAAGAAGGGATGATCGCGCGCAGAGAGTAAATTTCACCTAAAATAGGTCTTTAGGCATAGTTGCAAAAAGTTAATATAATTTTCATGCATTGTAGGCACGCAGATTGACAGATGTGATATCTGATATGGGTTTAGGGGATGCTGCACTGGGGGGACAACCGGCTCTTTTGACTTGACCCCTGCTCTGGAAGATTCAGAGTAATATGGAATTCCTAAACCATAATCACCGTTTCTGGATCAAGCAAAAAAAGTTCAACAAAACCTGACTTTGCTACTATTACCCTTTAATTCCCAAAGCGGCATCACGCGGCTCGTATAAATCGGTACCTCAATATATAAAACCCCCACATACCCATGGCAATCCCCCGCATCGCACGCGCTCACAGACCAAAATTATGCAGTAGCGGCGTCTCTCCAAAAACAATAATCAAGAGGTTGGCCAAAGAGGGGTAATTTAGTGTTATTTTCTTAAGAACAATATATATGATCCTAGGAACTCTAACAATATGAGTGTCATGATCAATCATAGGACAGCATCTTGCATGATAGCGGCGTCTCAGGCATCCCAGCGCGATTAGAGATATCGTAGAATGTGACCATCTTACTTAGTGACAAGTGAGACTCTTTGATCCGTCACGAGCTCAATAACGAGTTCTTACATCCATCGAAACCGGGAGAAAATTTGCCTTGGGGGACAAGGGTTTGGTCTTATCGTGTAGAAAGCTGATAGTAGGTAAATATGTAGCGGCTGTGCTAAGGCCACCGTTGATATATCTCAGCTCAACTCTGGTAAACAATTGCCTAACAGTTATGTATGTGAATCATTTACCCCACTCCCTACCTCATGACAGACATCGAAGACTCCAATCAGCTCAAGAACTTAACCATAAAAATGGTTTTAATCCACCTAGAACCTGTCCCATCTCCATATCCGTAGTACTGCGGATACACACTCCCCAAACCGTATCGGCCCGCCATGCCATGTCGTCCATCTCCTCCCCGGTACATATTCACCCCGCGCATCCCGTCCATCCCGCAGCACACATATGCACAACCTCCTCACTTCGATGGAAAACAACTCATGTCCCGGATATCCAGCCAATCAGCCTATTGTACAATAAACACCCATCGCAGGCGCATCGCAGGAATAACCGAAGCCCGTGCAGGATGCAGCACTTGTAATCATGATCATCGTGGGCCAACTCTCGCTCTAGATTCTCTCGAGGCGGGGCTGGCATGGTGGGGCTGGTATGGATCGAAGGGCTGGTGCAATAGTTATTCCTCAGAATGTGAGATAAGAGGGTTTGCAGAGTCTACCGGGTCTGGCTTGAGATTCTGGCGACTGAATAAAGTCCGTGCCATTGGCGAATGAGTGTTTAACCTGGTCCATGATCAGTAACGAGTAAATTGTAGAGGGTCTAATCGGATCAGCATAAACAAACCAATACTCGCTGTAGGAAAACAAAGATGATACGTGGCAATGGACAGAGTTGTTCCTTGAACACTCTTCTAGCTACTACCTGGCCTTAATGCTATCAGTGTAGTAAATAGTAAAAGCGCTGCAACCCTAAACCCCTTCACCTTCACATAAGATCGTTAATCCTGGCTCTGTGACTTCCTATGTCTCCAGTCTAACACTCAATTAATTATGATCTCCGTATGATCCGTGATATGCTTTCCAGATTGGTATCTCTACAACTCGAAGTTTACCGCCGTGAAATGTTCATCTGCCGAATAGTATTCTTAGCCCGGTCCCGAAGCACGGCTTTTTGTAAGAGCGGATCAACGTGAGATACCGAGCAAAACAGCAGATGAAATGAGACTCTCCTCGTTCTTTGGGGTAGAGAAATGATGGCTTGTAATATAGTTATCTCTCAATTATTTCCCCAAGCGCATCATTAATTAACCGGCGATCATGCTGGAACCCCGGTGGACGTTTTGGAGAGCAGTGAAAATTCCATGCCATCGTTGAATTATTCTCATTTACATCTTTCGTAATTCTGTTGGCTCTTCATGAGATGCACTGTTCAATCGATCTATCCATCTGCCTCGGAGTCAACATCGCAAAACGGAAATGATCAATCACGGAAAAAACCCACCCCAGCCTCCTTCCTTCTACCCTCCCGCCTTCACTTCCATCTTAATGTTCAATCCACCCTCAATAATCTCCATTATACCCCCAAATGTAAAAATACACCACTCACACGTTAACCCGGTATCTCCTGTTTCAAGCAAAGAGATCTAATCCCTCGGCCTCGATCGGCTCCTGGAGATCATCCAGCCAGCTAGCTGCGCTGCCTCGGGATCCTCAGGCGATTAAATTATATTGTATCAGTATATTGTAGCCGTTTTATTCCCCGGCCCGTTGGACGAATTGATTGATCTGCATCTCGCTGGCGGTAATGTGATTCGCAATCGGCAGCTCTGATTGAAGGGAGATTACCTAGATTAGAGGATCTGGTTCAAGACTTTTGATCCCGCCTGTACTGCAAATCGAACCCTATCACCGTTAAAATCACACTATCATTAGTTACCGCGCACACTGCAACCTCCCGCCGGGCCAGTTGCAACTGTCAATCAGACTTCAGCGTGGACCGTTCCTGCCTCCGTCCCCTATTCCTAGCCTATTTTTACTCGTCGCTGAAACTCGAGATATAATTAGCCGCCCCCCTGCAGGCCGATGCACTCACTCAACTCAGTGCACTACTGGAAGCGCCCGACCTCCATCCCTTGCTGCATATTAGTTAGTGTCCATAGTAAGATTTTCAGAAGTCACATGTGCACAGAATGATAGCGGAAAAGGCCATTTTGTTCATGGATTAAAAAACTCATTTCTTTTTTTTCAGATTGGTTTTTTGTCTCTCGTTACAAATCCCCTTCATATCCCCAAAACCCCCTCGTAAAGATCCATAAAGAAAAAAAAGGTTACCGGTCACTAGTGTTCGCGACGCACTAATGAACCGATAGAAGAAAAAGCTAGCTAGCCAAAAAAAAAAAAAAAGAGAATAGGATGAAGAAGAAAGAGGAAAAAGAGAAACAAGATTTTTCGGACCACAAAAGAAAATCGTAAAAAAAATCGCCTCTGTCGCCGCCGCCGTGGCCGGAAAAATTGACACAATCACACTGAGAGAGAAGATGGAGGAGGACGCAGGACCGCTGACATGATGCCCTATCGTAGCCAACAGTCCCACCATTAAGTTAATAAAAAAACATCCAGAATCGCCAGTATCCCAAAAAAAAAACAAATAAAACCCCGCTATGCTAATCATATCAAATGACTTTTGTCGCTACCGTAAAGAGAGTCATTACTAATAAATAGTAGTAATAGTAGTGGTGGTGCCTTAATAAAAGCGATTAAGTAAGGAATGGAACGGATGGACCACTAGGGCTCTACATCCTCAATCTCTGCTCGAGTTCGTATGCCAATTGTCCGCCATGACCTCCCTTTGAGGGGTGGTAGCTCGCGCGCTTTGAGACGCGGATCTGCCTGCGCTCGTACTCTTCTTCATCCTCGGACGAGCAGTATTCAGAGCACGAGGAGTCATCCTCAAAGTACGAGTGGCCGTGGCTTTCGGTGAATGGGCAGTCGCAATCGTCAATGGGGGTGATTGGTGAATCCTCGTCGGAGAAGACGGTCGAGTTTGAGCGAGATGAGTATGCAGATGAGATTGGAGAGTCTCCGCATGTGGTGGCGGCGCTGGTCATGACACTTACTGGGCGGATATTGGTGTCGAGGGTAAGCTTGTGCATAGCGAGGGGGTTTCGGGGTACTGGCTGGATGATGTGGGACGCTGGGCGATATCTTGGTGGGGACTGTTGCCTGCGGCGCTCAGACTGGGCGGGTGAAGAGCCGCGGGAAGATATCGAAGAGCTTGGGGAGGGAAAGCGGGATGAGCTGCGGGAGGAGGAGGTCGAAGAGGTCGGGCTGGCTTCACGAGGTGACGCGACGCCGGTCTCGAGAATATTGAGAGTGATGCCGCGAGTAGGCTCCTTGCAGGTGGGTTGGTTGGGGTCGTGGGACTCGAAGTATCCATCGAGGACATAGTAGTACCAAAACCTGGAGGGGGTAGCAGGGAATTTTAGGGTGATCTTCCAGAAACCGGGGCCAGCGGCGGTATCCTGGGCCATGGACATCTTCTTCTCGTACTTATCCCATGAGCCAAGCAAGTGGCAAGTCTCAATATGGGCTGGAGTGCGGAGCTTGAAGGTGGTTGATTGGAAAGACATGGCTGAGTAATTGATTATATATGGTTATTTGGGTAGGTAGTTGTAAATAGGGTAATAGGGCAAATTGGGGTAAGTTGGGCAAAAAAAAAATTATTAATTAAAGAAGAGAATGATGACTATCAAAGTCGAAAAATTTATTATATAAAAAAAGTAATGTAAGGGGGAGACTCGACTATCAAAGTACGAGATCTTGGTGTAGCGGGTGGGGAGGGGGGAGGAGGATGGTGATGAGGATGGAAGATAGAGATTTGACTTGAGGGGGGATGTGGATGGTATTTATCACCATCTAGTGGATTTGTATGTGTGAGTGGCCAATGTGTGAAAATGCGAATATCCGTAGGGTGTGTCTGCGTACCTGTCTTACCCAATCCCAGCTACAAGTGGTGTGTGTGGACCGTGAGGAACAGCAGCTATGCAGCTATGCAGCTATGCAGCTATGCAGCTATGCAACACAAACACTGGATCTGTCAGTCAATCACATCACAAAAAGACAAAAAGGATCAGCACCCCCAAAAATAAAAATAAAATGCCCTCAACCATACAAATGGCGGCTACATGGGGTGCCTGTCCAGTCGTTGGGAAACAACCAGGGCCGAATTTGATGTTGGTGGCCATTATTCATGTGGGACAGAACATGGTGTGCCCAGGTCTAGAGTATCGTTTGGAACGCATGAGCCAGGGGCTGGACCATTCACGAGGCATGCATGGCGCCTCGCTTCCTGTAGGCTGTTGGTTTTTTTTTTTTTTCCCTTTCCATTTCCCTTTCCCTTCCCCCTTCCTCTTTCCCTTTTCTCTCTTGTGCTTTAACGAACCCGATTTAGAGTTAGCGAGTCATCGCTTCCCTTCATCCCTCATCGTTTTATGGCCGATATGGTAGGGTTCCCGCACGCGCAAGGCGCAGCTATTCTTGTCTCTCCCCCTGCCTGCCCTTCCCCCTGTCCTGTGGTTGGTTCATGGGTGTGGTGCGTAATTATGCGTGGGGCCGATTTGCATATCCTTGGCCTTGTGTGTCCCCCCCCCCCCCCCACCGGTTATTTGTGGGTTGTGTCAAGTGTCACAAAAGTCGTCTTTCCCGTCCATCTCGGGGGATGATGATGACTTTGAGGAAGATCGCGAGTGAGACAGCCGAGTATCCGGATGGTGAACCGAGTGATTCATTGAGGATTGCTTTGACGACTGGATCTTCATGACGCTGCTGAAGGAGCAGGTTCTATAGATGATGTTCTGCGATACTCAGCTGAATTGAAGGCCAGCTGAAGTAAGCTGCGGCGGAGAAACGAGATGTGTTAGATGAAGCCTAGAAGCATAAAATTAATTATTGAATTAGATCCAACAAGGAGAAGGCTTTTCCATGCCGAGTAGAAGCTTAATGAGGCTTAATTGTTGCCCCTATCTAGGCCTCAAAGGCCAGAGCAATGTTCCTTAGAAAGCCTTGTTGGTTGTGCTGTATGTAAGATGTAAGCATTCAAGCGAGCTGTCGTTGGAGTTGTGGCCGTAGGGTTTCCACCTGCAGCACAACAGCCCTACTAACGTCTTCAACACAGCTCACCAACCACAGACCTTCCCCCACAGCCATCTCCATCACCATCATCATCGGCTCCCCCCACACACCACAGACCCCCCATTGGCACGTCCCCGCAGTTCTCAAACACCCCTTAAAAGCTTAAATTCCTCCCAAACCACGGTTGGCACAAGACCCCGCGTTCCGAGGCAGTGTGAAGCGGATGTTTCATCCTGACAGCCCCCCCCCCCTGTAGAAGATCATACAGCTCCGTTTTTCTTTTCTGGGGAGACGGGGCTGTGTCAGAGTTGTAGTATATAGGGGGAAGTATTCCTCTACCTTCTCTTTCTCCTCCTACGTACTCTATGTACGTCTCTGGTCTATATGACGATCAATGAGCATGAGCTAAGTATTCAAGAATGAGGACAGGACGATCCCCATGGATGACAGAGGAGAGAAACGAGTTGGTATGACAGGGTCAACAATTATCACTCTAGGAACCGATATCGTCACCTTCCTAGCATTAGGTCCACCCCCATCATACGCAACGGCTATATCAAAGGTAGCCACTGCTTTGTTTCCAATATCAGGGTCCTTGGGAAACTCCAACCCCCAAGGCACACACCTCAACGAGTTACAATCACTAACAGGATATCCTTCACAGCAGGATACTCAGGCACTAGATAGCATACGTTACCCAACTAAATGATGCATCCCCCACATTTGTCACTGACCCTTTTCTCTATCAATTACCACGATTGCAGAACTTACAGAACCCATCGGACCGACAAAACCCCCAAGCCCCACTAACCACATCCATTGCTCTATTTTTAATCTGGTAACACCCACCTGTATCCCTGCAGTACGCAATCCCTGCATGCTTGCTCATGCATGCAGCATAACCGGTTTCCCCTCTCGCTCCAGCAACCAATCACACGCGTCAAAAATCCAACTGCATAAACAACCTCGCCGCTAGGGGTGGAGGTGGCAGCGGTTGGTCAGAAGATCGTGGATGATGAGTTTTTTAATTCTGTCTACCTACTCTTCCTAGCACCAGGGCACCGGGGAAGGGTTCTCCCAACAAAACGGCGTTTGGTAAATTAAACAACTGTCATGGCAGAGCGAATGGAAGCTCAGAGATGAGAGAGGATGGGAATAGTACATGTAGCTAGCTAGCGTAGAGCTGAGGGCGGATGGCGCGGCGATGGTGGAATGGATGTGATAGGTAGGATGTGCTA